TTTTGATTTTTAATTGTTGAAAAAAAATGAACTGAACGAAACTGAATTGAAATTGAGATGATGATACCAAGTACCCCATTTGTACCTTCCGTGCTCCGTAACCGTTCCATTTTTTTTCTTCATTTTTTTTTTTTTTTTTTTTTTTTTTGGGGGGGGGGGGGGGGGGAGAGGACACTTACAAGGATATTTGTTAAACTAATGTATAGCTATGAAATGTAGCTACGCTTATTACCTCCGAATAGCCTCAGCACCATACAACATTTCTCATTTCATTTAAATTTTATTGATATTTGTCAAATATAGAGTTTTGAATCTTATCAACAACACAAAAGAGGGAAATAATTTGCTTTTTTTTTTGTAGTATTGGATTGGAATGTAGCTTTTGTAAGCATGTGTTTTAAAGTACAGAAGCAGATTTTAGACATCTGTATATTGAAGCATACTTTGAATTATTCATTTAAAAATGACATAACATACTTCGTGTAAAAGTGTTTTCTATAATATCAAGGATCATATAGCTCGACAGAAACTTTACTAATACGCGAGGGAGTTTAGCGACCGAACGAAATAATTGCATCAGTGAAATTGAAAAGTGTAATCAAGTACTGTTTGAAACACAACGGAAAATTCAAGCCTACTTCAAAATAGTGATTTGCGTATTATATGCGAGCAACATAAAGAGCTTCATGTCTATTGAGAGGGTTGCCAAAAGTGTTGTCCCATCCCTTTACTAGAAAGTAGCATTGATCTTCAAACCCCATTCGCTTCAAGAGCATATATAGTTGGCAGGGTTCGTACAATGATAAGAAACATTCCAATTATCAAAACTGCGAGGAAGCCTACTGACACAACGGAAAAAGATAGTGTTTAGGAAAGTTGAAACCATAACTTTAGAGCAATTCAATGATTTTCTAATCTGCAATTTTATCTAAAACCTGTTGTGCTATTTTCTTGCGAGCCGGGTGGGGCCTTTTTTTGCCTTCTCCCCATTTTAAGAGGAAAGCTGTACCCCAATACCGTACGGGGCCTTGGTGTAGAGCACTTTTGTATTTTATAACCAAGGAAGATTACTACAGTATATACATCACAGTTAGGGGCTACATTGAGGGTTTCAACATGGATTACTGAAAACATGAAAAGTCAGATCATTGCATGTCATGTTACAATTTTGTATCTATACAGAACTATTCACATTCAAACGATATACGGCGAAATTGTGTCTTATAAACGGAGAAAATAATTTATAATTTAGCCGCCACTAAAACATCGTCAGCCTCCTCGCTTTGACGCTTTTGGAAGAAAGGGTACATCTATCAAAATGCGAAGGAGCGTAGCGACCGAGAGAACTTTAGAATTCGGAATAGTGATACATTGTTTTTTTGGAATCTCTTTTTTATGATTATACTGCGAAATTCATGTCAAAAGTTTTTGTCTGGCAAGAGAGGCGGGAAGGTCAAATCGTCCTTTGTTTGATAAGGTATTTGGCCTTGTTGATGGGGAGGGGGCAGAAACTATTTGGCTCCACGTACCCCTGATAGAGGGAGAATCTGCTCCCCTGGTTGCGGTGCATTTATTATAGACAGGGTATGTATATATATACAATAAACACTGGGTCTGTTAATATTCGAGGGAGTGTATGTTGCGACTGCGTGGAGAAAATGTTGATTTTAGGATGCCAAAAATTACTTTTCTAAGCACTTGAAAGCTTATTCTCATTCAAAGGAAATTATTGTAATTTGCCTCTTTTTTTTCCTTGCGAGGGGGGCCCAATGGGCTGAAATCAATTGTGTCCCCCACTTGAATATTAATTTGGGGACATCAATCCCCTGCCCCCACTCCATCCCCCACTTCCGGTGCCTATCATCTATCCGAATTGTATGAGTACTACTTTTCAGGCCTTAGCCAAATGCAATTATTTTTCGTCAAAATAATAACACTTTTACCTTAAGTCGTAACTCCTGCTCGAAGTCAGCCTGATTCTCGATGTTGTGATTTTTATGACCGACGATCACGCACTTAAAACAGACATGAACCTTACAATCCTCACAAAACATATCTTTGTTCTCTTGTTTGTGGATGCAGCACTTCTCGGATACATGGCTAATGCTGACCTTCCCGTTGTTGATATCCTGTATAGATACAATATCGTGACCTTTATAGGCTATAAGATGTTGATGACAATCCAGACACTTATCACAAATGTAGTTATTACATGTACAGCAGAATGAGACAGCATCTAGCTGAAACATGCAAGCCGTGCATTTTGGACGCATCTCAAGGACAGCGTTCATCCCTCCACACTTGGCGTGGTAATTGTCTACAAGTCCGTTGACAGTCACATTGGTAAGGAAATCATCGACACGGTTCACAGACAACTTAGTGATCTTCCTGCAGAGAGGACAGATCATATGATCGAGATCCTGGTGGGACAGGTCATAGTTCTTGAGGCATTTCCGACAGAAGGTGTGTTCGCATGAAGTCAAAATGGTTGCCTCGTCGAAGATATCAAGACACAGTGGACACGTCAGGTTCTCTGAAGAGCTTGGAGCTTTCTCTTCCTCGGTCTTCTCAGCCATATTTTGTACAAATGTCTAATTTCTGGCTTATTACAAACACGAGCGCATTCTACGCCTATTACATCCAAATGATGTCCAATAACAAGTGCGATCGGCTAATATGTGTACTAACTAGAATTTAACAGTCAGTTCATGCAAGCACAACTTATATGCAGTGACTTAACAGATTTTACCAATATGAGTCTACGGCTCTACGCAACAAGTGCGTCCTACTCCTAAATGCATGTACTGCATGTAGTTCTGTACCAAGTTCGTACGTTGATCAAAAATCGAAAGAGGTGCACCTCGCTTTCATCAAAAGTATTAATTCTCCATTCAACTGTGTACCTGCATACAAGTAAGGTTACAACTAATAGTAATACTTGTGTAGATCTTCTGTGAATACAATGCAATGTATGCATCCTATAAATAGAAGTGGGTTTTCCCACGGAGAATGCGAGCAGCGTATAAGCACCTTTGAACTTTATGGTGGTATATATTTATCGTTTCTGTCCATAGAGGGAGACTTGTTTAGGTACTCTAGTTTTCAGTAGTGTCCCTTCATTGGAGATCCACTCTAGTAGAATCCTCGATAATAGAGCAATTTTCTTTTCTTCATTCCTTTGTTTGGAGGGGTGAAGGGCGGTAACCACACTTATATGTCTCTCCTTCTTTCTGCACTATACTTCCTTTCATTTCTTTCATTCTCTTCCCTTTTCTCTGTAAAAAAAAATCTCTTAAAATGTTTGCGTATTGAACGCTACGAGGCTACACTTATTACAATGCAGTATTCGCCTGAAGAAGAAAAAATTCACCACTTCTTCTCGTATAAAAAAAAAATCATAACTAAGACATTGTGAATCACGTTTGACTCAAGAGCTAATAATGAGAAAAATTATATCATATACAATATGTATGCCATATTGCATGGAAAAATGCCGGGAAATATGATTCATTAAAAAAATAATGTAATCAAGGTAATCATAAGAGTTCTGTTTGCGATACTGCATTTGGGGGGAAACTGTCGAGAAAAAAGAAGTGAATGGGTTGTTTTGGAACAGCAAAAAAGCAAAAATAAGTCTGAAACTTTGCTGGAATCATAAAATGTGTGCAGTGTTTTTCCCTGGTTGTGATTTTCAGCAAGATCGATATCAGTGTGTTATTATTTAAATGATTAAAAAATCTCTCAATAAGCGTACATAATTTGGCCTAATACGTACTGGATAATCAACATTTCTCGATGACACTTTCCAATCGCTTCTGGATTGTTTCTCTTCCTCTTCATCCTCCTATTCCTTCTCCTCCTCCACTTCCTCCTCCTCCTCCTCCTCCTCATCCTCCTCCTCCTCCTCTCTCCTCCTCCTCCTCCTCTCCTTCTCCTCCTCCTCTTCTGCTTTTGTTTTCTTCTTCTACATCCTACATCCCCTACTGGGCGAGTTTGTGAGGGTATAATCATGGTATAATGTAGCATTGCCGAGATCATTATACCCCGTTTAGATCTATATAACTCGGTGTCATACCAGACACATTTCTTCTCAAACGCAAGGTAACGAGCGCGGGTATACTGTATTAGGCCACTAGTGTGTGTGATTCCATCCCTTTCTTTGTCCGTTTATAACTATAAAAAGAAGAAAAAATGAAATGAAAAATGAAAAGCACGTAACTAATTCAGAAATTAATGAAGAGATGAAATGCTTTCCATTAAAGCCCATTATAATGTAATTGAACAATCGCTCATCAGCTTAATGGAGGTGATGTAGATTCAAAATCACCTAAATTAAAAAGGGTAAAATATTGATAGCATAAATTCCACGCCAAATGGCGAACAGAAGCCATGACACCCTGTATGGTCTTATAATCAGATATAAAAGGTCTCATTGTCAAAACGTTTTATATCTGATAATATATTAATGCGGTACTTACTCCTTGATAACAAAATTAATTTTGTCGAAGAAAAAATATTAGTAATCAAAATACCCATCAATCACGCTTCAAAATGTTATTATTCAATTCTGATTTAAGTGCAAGTTAATTTCAGTTTGCTATTAACCGGTAGATACAGTATGGTTTGCAATAAATGACCAATCAATTATAAAAATCCACCCCAAAGTACAGTGACATTAACATTAAGCTAGATCAAATTAATTCGAAACAATTTATGGCGGATCCGGAATCCGAAAGAAGGAGGGGGATGCATGTGTTGAAAATCGTAATCGTCTAAGATCCCTCTAAAGCGATGTACATAGCATACCACTATTATTATTATTGTATGGGGGGGGGGGGAGTACCCAATGGAGGTCCGCTAGTTAGCCAATAAAAAGCCAGAAGCTCTGGGAGTGTTGCAGCGCATGCGCCAGTCTTTCCGATTTCAATTGCTGTAAGCAGTCAGGTCTTTTATGTCGGAGTAGATACACGTACCTCACTTTCATCAAATGTTAATACAACATGGGCATGGAAACAGTTCAAACTGGGGAATGCTTCGAATTAAAAGAAAGAAATCCTTCTCAAGATGAGGAATCTGTGGATATGTCTTCAAGATTTGAAGACGTTGAGAAGGCCCTCTTTGCTGCAATTGAAGAGGGTGACGAGGTAGCAGTGGAATATATCTTGCAAGCCATCAAAATTAATCAACTTCAGAGGGACTTTCGAGATGAAATTGGGAGATCGACATACGACTATGTGATAGAAGGTGGATTCGTGCGTAAGAAATCACTTTGCTTATTATATAAGAATGAATGTCATCGTCTACTCCGTTTTTTCTTTTATCTTTATTTTACTCTATTTAATAACATCATGTTTTTGGTACTTTTCTTATTTTGCTTTTGTGTAATTTCAAAACTTCATAATTATGTAAGCATTGGGAGACAACCAAGCATCCAATGGAATTGATATTTGTATTATAAATGTAGCTATCATTATCATTATAATTCTAATTTAGAATGATATGAAATTTTTTATCTAAACTTTCTCCTGCGGCGCTTAGCAATTTTGGAGAGTTTACTGGATGCAGGGATCCCTTTAGGAGACGCCCTTCTGAGATCCATCGCCGCATCGTGGCATGAAGGAACCGTGTTTATCTGCAACTACGTCATGACTCTCCCTCCAGAAGTAAGTGAACTTCTTCTTAAGAACAAATTTGGAGTATTTCCTCCTTTAAGACAGTTGAAAGAAAATGAATATCACTTCAAGAAATAATAATGAAAGGAATAGGCCCTGTGGGTTATCATGTTTACATTCGTTTTATAGTTTGCTGCTATTCAGAACGTTCCTATATACTGTGATGCTAATACTCATCATTTTCATTTTCTTTTGTTTTAAACTGCGTGTATTAACACACCATTGTCATCTGTATGTTATCAGATATATATGCTTGTTAATGTTTGACAGGGCCCCAATGGAAAACAGCTCGTTACTGTTTGAGCTCTTTCACCGTGTATAAATAAATATAAATAATAAAAAATAGAGTATATCTATCTCATGTTAATATCAAACTGTTTTTATATAACGTTTACACAAATAATTATATCAGGTATGATACATGACTTTACGTAGCCATGATAATAGACGTTTTACTCCTCAGATTAAAGTCAGTACTGTACCTCATTTTATATTTTATTTAGGATAGGGAATCAATTTATGAATGTCGGAGCAGAAATGCCGACTTTCATCCCGAGATGTCGCCGCTCAAACTCGTCGCCATGAACAATAACTTTCAAATTGTCGAGGTACGTTTCAAAATCGCAACAAACATGGAGAAAAAACGAGAACGAGAGAGAAATATAAGATTGTATAGAGAGAAAAGAAAAGAGAGAGAGAGAGAGAGAGAGGGATATATATATATATATATATATATATATATATATATAAGATAGAATAGGAAGAATGGAAAGAAAGAAAAGAGGCGAGGGAGAGGATAGAGAGAGAGAGAGAAAGAGAGAGAGAGGGGGGGGGGGGTAAATACATGTACTTCAATGCGGGTTAAGGATGTCGCCTTTTGAACCCGGTATGTTTATTGGAATGTAGTTCTCTACAGATACAAAGTTGCCATACGTCAAGAACCGGTAACAACATGGGGCAAGGGGGGACGTCCCCCCTTGGCCCCATGTAGCTACGTCTGTCATGAACACCTACCATTGACAACATACTACACATACAGCATAATTAAAACACATTACTGTGCTTTTTTTTCTATATTTTAATCAAACGTATCTTCGCTCTAATAACACTGAAATAACAGGTTCTTCTTAAAGCCGGTGTGTCGCCCCTTGCCAAGCCCCAAGCGAGTCAGAAATCGACTGCAAGTCTCACCGATGTCGTCAGTCTGCTAGACTATTATCGAGCCGTTTCATCAGAGGCCTACCTGGGCCTTGCTCACCCCGACCCTCTGGATAACGCGTTTAGATTGAGCCGAAAGCTGAGAGAGCTGGGAAACGACTGGGAGGAGTTTAATGCCGAATTCTTCAGAATGGCGGAGAAAGTAGAAAGATTTTCAGCATCACTGTTAAATCATCTCTCATCTTCTGTCGAGGTAACAGAGCCATTATACCTTCAAGTGAATGAATGAATGAATGACTTACTGACTGACTGAATGAATAAATAAACAAACAAGTGTTAAACAAATAATTAATAAATGGATAAAAAGATTTTTTTTACAATTATTTTATCCTCACCTTAATTCCAGCTTCAGACGCTTTTCACGCAAAGCAGCATCCCAACCAGGAATCCGATGTCAAAAGTAGAGACAGCTATCGCTTATCAGCAGAAAGATGTAAGACACTTCAACTACATCCTTTTCTCTTTCCTCACTTGTTCACCCCTTTTCTCTCCCTTTTCTCATTCCATAAGGGGGAGAAAATAGCTCCATAGCTCATATAGCTATATAAGGCACCGCCTCATAATTATTTTCTGCATTTGAACATGTTAAAGCTGCTAACACATTGAAAATAGGAAACAGAAAATGAAGCACAATGGAGAAGTCACCTTTATAGTTTATAACATCAAGGTTTTTTCAAAGGAAACTTAAAATATGCCTGTAAAAATACAATAGGCATTTTTCGTAATGTAACAAAATTTAATGCATACACCTTTGTGAAGTGACTCGATACGAATTATATTATCCACCTGATACTAACAATAATTGTATCTCTATGGTCAGAAAGTGAATAACATGCATTAGTTGTTGCAAAGTAGGACAAACTTTACATTTTGGCTTGCTCTATCTAAAAACACGTAATGTAATGCAATCGTTTCTTTTTCACTGCCTCTCTCTCCCTCTCTCTCTCTCTCTCTCTCTCTCCCTCTCTCTCTCTCTCTCTCTCATTCATGTCTCTCTTTGAATTCCAAAAGTTTGTCGCGCATGCGTACTCCCAAAAGGCCATGTCTTTCGCCTTCTACCAAGTCTTCGCATCGACATCGAACCTTCGGCTGGTTCTCATGACATCGCTGCTCGTGATCGCCTACCCATTCATCAGCGTGGTCTTTTTAGCGTACCAGGGAGATGTTCTCACAAAGCTTCTCAGAACACCGTAAGTTATAAGAAAATCTAGAAGATATTAATAAGAATACTACAACTACTAATAATATTGATAATAATTACAACAATTATTACAATAATAATAATAATCCGTTCTTAAACACTGTGAATGTAGTAAAACAAAATGTAAAACACTCTCTGCAGTCACACTATAAATAAATGTGCGTATGCACCGTTTTTTCCTGCTGTGTCCACACTCCGCCTCACTGTATCACACACTGTGTAACAAGGTACGAATATACAGTCGGTGTAAACAAGGTCTGTTCATACTGTCAACATTACACAAAATCAGCAGTCCACAATGATGCATACGTACTGTCACTACTGTGTTAATTTTGTGACCACACCTCCTTTGTTTTGATTGACAGGCACATCAAGTTATGGATGTCCTTTGGTTCAGACGTGACTCTCCTGATCTGCGTTGCTCTCAACTCCATCTTGGATAAGCAAGATTATACTTATCCAATCCTCTGCGTCCACGTTGTCATCTTGGTGCATTGCATAGGTAAGAAATAATACCTTCATGAGCATAATAATAATGATAATAATAATTATAATGATGTTAATAATAACAAAAACAACAATAGAAATAGAAATTATAATGATAAAAGTTATCATTAATATTATGATCATGAAGGTACTATTTCATTATTTTCACTGTTCTTTTTTAAAATGATTATAGAACAATATACACATTAATAATAATAATAATAATAATAATAATAATAATTGTAATAATAATAAAACAATAATAGCAATAATAACAATTGGATGTTAGATAGTGCTCAGGTCTGGGAACTTTCCACTATTGGTTCTCCATTATTTTACCCTGGCTTTAGTAAGGCTGTCATTAAAGCACTTGAGCACTCTAAGGGTTTTATTTCTGCTATATGTACCCATTTACCTCATCTGGGTGGAGTGTGTCAAACTCAAATGTATATTAAATCTTGCCCAATGACATTCGTGCTTCGGCAGGGATTTGAACCCCGTACCTTGTAGTTCACAGCCCGGGGACTTATCCACTAGACCCAAGGCCCAAAACTCCTATATCATCATTGTAATCATTGTTATTCTCATTTGTATAGGTTTGGTTTGGAAGCACGTACAAGAAATCTTCTCTCGAGGTTTCATCAAGTTCATCAAGTACTACATGAACGTAGCGGAGGTTCTTATTGTCACGCTGTGCTTTGGTTTCGTCACCAGCGACTGGATTGGACGTGTGCAAGTATGATTATAAATATATATATACAGTGAAACCTGTCTATAAAGACCACCCAAGGGAGACGAAAAACGTGGTCTTTATAGGCAGGTGGTCTTTATGTACAGCTTCCATTAGTACATGTTTCAATGAGAAACCATTTTCAAGGGAAACAACCAATGTGGTATTTCTACACAGGTGGTTACTAATGCAGGTTTCACTGTATATATATATTTACATATACATTACAAATAATTCAATTTGGATAATCCTCCGTCACGGCAATATACAAACAGAAGGAATTGAAATACAAAAAAAAAATCATTGAGAGTTCACTTCTTCTTGACCAGTTTCAACTTATTTCGTCAGATAGTGAATTCAAAATCACAAATAACACACAAGTGCATCAAAGTAGGCGCCATTTTAGCACAATACGTTTTACGCATTGTTTACATATACTTTGTTGCACCTGTTTTTAATTTAATTTATAACATCCTTAAAAAAGCCCAAAAGAGCCAATAGCCGATAAAGGGAGGGAGAGAGAGAAAGAAATTTAAAAAAAAGTGGGGAGAAAAGAGGGAGTCATTTTTGCTCGTCGCTAGCAGTTTTGAAAAAAAGTTTTTGGTAAAAAAGGGGGATGCAAGTATAAACAGAGATGATAAATTACTGTATTTTGTTTAATGATCCGCTAAATTACCAGATTATTAAGCTATAATGGCTTCATTTATCAAGCTTACCGATGAGTTAAATATTAGCAAATTTGCAATTGGGCTCGTATTTGAGTAAAAAATTGGCTCCGAACTGGTGAAGCCTTGTAACTCTTCAAATGGTTTTAATCAAAGGGAAATTGATTCAAATGTTTTCATTTGTTGCAAGTATGATATGGTTTTCTGAGGATTGATTAATAATTAATCTAGATTAATTGAGTGCATATTTTGTAACAAATATATCAAGTTTTATTCTTCATAATTATATAAAGTATTTTTGTTTTCTTTGCCTCATATACAGTATAAACTATAATATCATTGATCACTACAACTCCGTCAATTTTTAAAGAAATGTTATTAATACTAAATTGATTCTTAGCATGATGACAAGTTACAACGGTTAGAAGTCGAGACCAATCTGACGTCACAATGCACATCTTGGAGCTGCGCGGAGTGGAATAACCCTGTCATTGTGTCGAATGCTTTGTGTGGTGAGAACTGAATACTATCCTTAAAAGGCCGACTAACTTCAAAGCTTAGACAAATTTGGAACTTAATTTTCAAAGTACAGTATCGTCCATTTAATGAGTAAAAAAGACGCTGTTTACGCCCTGTATCATCAAAATCGTCATCATTATCCCTTGTCCCTTGTACAATTAAAACCGCTGTAAATATAATTTGAAGCCAAATATGGATTTTGTTGGTTTTGTTATAATATTGCAGTAAGAGGAGAAAGGAAAATCAATTCTATTCAATCGTATCCTTCATTGATCAAGTTTTATCAACTTTAATTGCAGGTCTTGTTGTGATCCTGTGCGTATTCAGAACATTCCATTCGGTCGTCACAAGCTATCACGCCATCTTCGTCATCTGGAAGTCTACGATCGGAGCCATTCGGGACCTCGTGAGGTTCTCGGCAATACTCGGCGGAGTTCTCGTATCAGTTGCCGTGGGAATGAACGCGATGTCTCTATCCGAAGTAGGCATATTTCGTGAGCCATGACGCGGAAAATCATTTCGTCTTAGGGCATAGCACAGTTGCGAGCTCACCTCGGGCCACAGTTTTTACCGTGCCCCTCAAAGCAGCAAATTCGCTACTGACTTCTATTTTTTTTTTTTTTTTTTTTTTAATAGTTTTTTTTATTGCTTCAAATCAAAGATATTTACAATCGTTGTTCATTAGGCGGTATAGCGAAAAATGTTGCCTGGGCATTGTTATCCTTCCTGTAAAATCCATTAACTAGGACACCATGAATGCGCGCAGTTCTTTGTTGAATTTATCACATTTTCGAAAGCATTTTAAAGGGGATATTTTGTCAAAAAACACATTTTTGAGAACCACATGGGGGATGCGGTATTATCGGTATGTAAGACAAATATTGACCGCTGAGTTTTAGGGTCATGGTTAAAACTATACGTCCTCGGTGATCTCGAGCCTGCACTATGTCCGTCGACTTCGTCTCTTTTTGAGATCACGTTGGGCTATAGTAATTTTACCGTACCCCTCAAAGCTGTCAATATTTATATAATATACGATAGGGTATATATATTACAGATTAATAGTATTCTATTGGCTGAAAAGGTGTCACGTAACACTCAACTTTGAGCATGTAATATTTGTAAAATACTTTGAACGTAGCACATTCTGCAAATTAACCTAACACTGTCAAGCCTAATAAAAAATAAATATTTCTTAATAGTATAGGACAAAATCTCTTTGATAGGACTAGGCTTGCTCGAGTAGCCAATAAAAATGTCCCATCGACTCGATCCTGTACGGCTCCTAACGGGGTGGGCTCGACTTCAAATAATACACACGCCTTAGACGTTGCACGTTCTACCTCTATACAAATATGTTGAATTAACAACAATTTGGATTCAGACTTCCCCGGAATTCATCAATATTCAGTATTATTTAGTTTCTTCTATTGCTGCCAATCCTTTTTTTTTTTCTAACATCATCTAAAAAGTTACAGAGACACGTGGACTTTCATTTTTGTGCCGATCCAAACTTTAAAGATGACATTCCTTTGTCTGTACCTCTTTCGCAGTTCTATGCTCAGCCGTCGCAATGCCGAAATGGTTTAGCTGTGGAAACATGCTCTATTTGGGATGAAAGATTCATTACGTAAGTGTGGCTGTGTTATTATCAATCTCGCAAAACCAACTAAGAACCAAACTTTAGAAAAAGGTCAAACATGTGCGATATTTCTTTAATTGCATGTTTAAAAAGTAAGCCTAAGTCGCGATGAATATTGGATACGTAAGGAATAATAAAACATTAATAACTTTATTTTTTCAATTAATAGTTTATTATGATGCTATTTTAAGAGATACAGCCATTAACGAACAGATTCCTGTCATTCCGGTGATTGCAAACTATTGCACACGGGGTAAACAATAGGGTATTATAATTGCCCTGGAGCTGATTTTTCGAAAATACGAATGGTTCTTCTCTCTACAGTCTTCCAAAGTCGATGTCGACTCTGTATTGGGCACTCTTTGCCGTGCGAGGGCAGACGGTGAGACAATCGTTCGGGGACGATACCGTCTTCGCTCTCATCTACTACGTCTTCTTCGCAGCTTACTTCATTCTGGCGGTCGTCCTCGGGCTCAACCTCTTCATTGCCATCATGACGTCACAACTCACCAAGGTGCAGGTAGGACGAAGAGCCTAACTGATTATTCATAGAGGTGTCGTGGTCGAGTGGATAAATTATGTCACCGGACTGTGGATCACAAGGTCCGCGGTTCAAGTCCCGCCGCGGCACTAATGTCCTTTGGCAAGACATTGATCTACATTTGCTACTCTCCACCCAGGTGTTAAAATGGATACCCGGTAGGATGTTAATGTGGTTGGATTAGCAAGTTGCGCTTGTAAAATGGCGACTAGCTGGAATGCTCCCCAGGGAGTGGAAAATGTGCATACACTGTGTTGCGGGTAAGCCTGAATCCGATGACCGGGGTAATAATATGTTCCGCGCCTAGAAACAAAGTATTAGGCGCTTTATAAATGTGAGCTATTATTATTATCATTATTATTATTATTCAATCCATTTTTGTTTAAATTTATCTATCGATAATTTGATTTTTATTTACTGACCACCTTGCAAACTTAGTGATATTCTTTTATATTCTCACCAGAAAAATGGGTATTTCGGAACACACAACGAGGTAGTTTATTGCACTTCCACGTATAAGATGTCGATATGATATAAATATATATATATATGATTACATTCGTTTGATTTAGTTTAACTGAAGAAATGCAGGCACATCAACCTTCGGTTCGCAAATCACGACTCACAGCTTTGCGGATACCAGCGAGACCAATTAGGCTCTGCTTAAACTTGTTATTAAAGTATGGATTTTTAGGGCCATTTGACAGAAGAGATCCTAAGCTAGGAAAAGTTCCAGAATGTATATATATATATATATAATTGTATTATACGCATTGTATAGTAATGTTCCAAACTAGGCATTTACTTTCATGTTTATACTAGAACCAAACCTTTTTTCAATGTTCATTATTGACAGAAAAACAGCGACATGGAATGGAAGTTCGGTAGAGCTCAGCTGTGGCTTCGGGTTATCGAACCAGTGGTTGAACTCCCTCCACCTTTCAACCTTATCCCAAAATCCGGGACAGTACAGCGCATGATCAAGAGGTGGATCGGACGTGAGACGCTGAGCCGGGAAGAAGTAAATATCATTTGACACAAATAGGACAGCCCTGATGAGGAAACAGTTATGATTGAGGAATATATGTCCATTAATACACAATAGCATTCCCACACACAAATACCGCGCCACACACATTCATGCACCCACACACACACACGCGCGCACCCACCCATACACGCACACACGCTTTACCATCTCTCCCGTACTCAAACATGTCTCACACCCTCCCCCCTCCCCACATACACACACGCACGCACGCCAACATGCATTCTATCATATACAGTTGGGTTATGTTTCTCACACATAAAAGAACACAAACGTCAAAACACACAAACACACGTACAAACATTGAGGATTTATTTTACAATCAATCGATTTCATCGCTTCGATTTGATTTGATTTAATGATTAATGGTTAATGGCAATTTAAAGTGAGTATATCAGAAACCACGAAGAAGGCCCAGTATCGGTGGGGGGGGGGGGGTTCATTTAATAAAAAAAGACCACTCACTTTGTTTTCTACCATTTTATCCTTCATTTTTTTTTTACAGGATGAAGAAAGACCTGGAGACCCCGAAAGGGAATCCATGGTATGTTTATTTCATATACGATTTATTGCACTTGCTCTGTAGACTTGCTTCTGCGACTGCCATGACTAGACGACTTGGCAGACCAGTTGCTGCTACTACTACCAAGACTACTACTACTACTACTACTACTACTACTACTACTACTACTACTACTGCTGCTGCTGCTACTACTACTACTACTACTACTACTACTACTGCTACTACTGCTACTACTACTACTACTACTACTACCACTACTACTACTACTACTACTACTACTACTACAACTACTACTATTATTACTACTACTACCACTACTACTACTACTACTACTACTACTAATATGACTACTACTACCACTATTACTAGGCTACTAACACTACTACAACTACTACTACTACTACTACTACTACTACTACTACTACTACGTCTTCTTCTTCTTCTTCTACTACTACTACTACTACTACTACTGCTGCTGCTACGTCTTCTTCTTTTTCTTCTTCTTATACTACTACTACTACTACTACTACTACTACTTCTGCTACGTCTTCTTCTACTACTACTCGCTTTCTCTCACTCTCTCTCTACCGTCTACTTCTACTTTAACTACGATCACTATTACTACAATCAGTAATAATATACTACTACTGCTACTACTATCACTTCTACTACCACTACTACTACTACTACTACTACTACTACTATGCTACTACTAGTAATACTAATACTTTTTCTACTTCTTCTACTACTACTACTACTACTACTACTACTACTTCTCTCTCTCTCTCTAATATTACTTCTACTACAGTTACTATACTACTTCTACAACTACAATACTACTATTACTACTACTACAATCAGTAATACTACTACTAGTAGTAGTAGTCTATCATTACGTACATACTTTCGTTAGTCATGTTAGTACAAATTCTAATGTGATGTACATACTTTCATTTGTCTTTATTATTATCATTATTATTATTGCTAATAATATTATTATAATTATCATCATCATGCTCTTTTTTTTAAATGTATAACTAATTCTTTATTTTGTAACAGGTTCTGATTCACAAATTATTGGAACGCTACCAGGATCAGAAACGCGAATCGACGCCATCCTGTTGTGGATTTACCATCGAAGATTTCAGGATATTGAAAGAAAACTTTCTTTCTCTCCGGTCAGTGATTGCTTCGTTTCATTTCATTTCATTTATTTTATTTCCACACTCCATTGTAAAATACATGCTTTCATTGTTTCATTCGGGTGACCACGGCTACTTGCATTTTTTCTTCACTTTTCTTTGTTTACATGTTATTGCTAATGTATCAGTGACTCAAACATTAATTACATCTTTCTTAATTGCTATCGAATTCAGATACAATATTTGATATACAAGCTTTGCTTAGTAATAAGCCAGTTTATAGTTGCAGTCTGAGCATGAGCAGAAGGTCATTCCAGATCAAATTGTGAAATACACGGAGGCAAAATAATGAAAGTTATGTAATCATTATTCGTTTGTTTTCGTTTAATCCATGATACACAGGTGGAAATATTCTTTGAAAAGGGGAAAACAAAGGATATTTATGTAGCACCTCCATCGATGTAGGAGTGATTATTTCAAAATGTACAAAGTGGGACCTCTTCATGTTTTGAAGATCTGTGGATATTCGGGGGTCATTTGGAACATGTGCTAACCGTGAACTGGTCTATAGGTTCCCTATATTTCACAATGTATATGAATGAAAATATATACTCGTGTATTTGAAAATAGGAACCACATCTCAAAAATCCTTCGCCTGATCGAAATGAGCATCGAATCTCTGGAGGTAGTCGTTGAGGGGCTCAACATCCGAATCGGAAAGCTCAACGACACAGACACTCAACTCGACGGCATCGATCACAATCGGGTCCAGATTGAGGACGACGACATCGACCAGCTGACTGATGACGTCACAAATCTGGAGAAGTGTGTACGTCACGCAATGGCCCGTCTGCAGAGTACTAGCTTGATTACGCAGATGGCAGAGATGTACAGTCAGGGGCGTACAGTTGTCAATGACGATGAAGCGAGGGGGAAGTTGGAGTCCTATCGACAGGACTTCGACAGCTACGCAACAAATCTTTACGCGTGATCGCTCAGAAATAAATATGAAGAGAAGGTTGAGGTCTGGTGAAAAGGTGACAAATAATTTGTGAGTTATTATCGGTCTTTGAAGTTAATATGGAAGAAATGTTGCCGAAAGAATTGCCTGTCAAATTCTCTTGTATTCGGAATAATGACAGGAAAAAGCTGAATATTAGGACCAAATTCCATGCTTACATTGTAAACACGTGCGTGCATTACCCCATGATTTATGTGTAGCTTGCCGCACTGCCACCCCCCCCCCCCCCCCCCCCTAGTTGCGGCTTCACTCAGGCAAAGATGATTTTGGTTAAATTACCTCTTCCCTTGTATACATTATACTTATTATGTTAAAATATATTGATACTATATTAATAATTTCTTTATATTTCATTATTAATAATTTCTTTATATTTCATTTTTAATATTTTACTATCTCGTTGATCATTCTTCTCCTTTAATTCTATAGTGCTGTTATTGAGAACAATTCGCTGGAGAACTCTCCTAATAAAACCACTACCTTTTAAGCAGATGTTATCCTCGCTCATGTGACTCCTCCAATACCATCATCCTAATTAAAGAAGATTTTATTTTTATTTTTGTATTATTCATTTATTTATTGCAACCATGAGCTGCATTTCAAATAATACAAAGACAGGCATAAAAATGATTCACAATATAGGTATATATACTTTGTACAATAAAACTGTATTAGTTTGCACTTTAAATACATAAATACATGAAAATAGCATTCAAGAACAATCGCATTTAAACAAAAATTGGGGAAGGAGGAAGGAAATCTTGAAAGATTAGAAATATAACGTTTTCTCTTAATCAAAGTCTGGAAAACAAACATCTTGTAAGACATAGACATAGGTTAATTGGCATCACATTACAATTTACATGTCTTCGTTTTGGTTTTTGTTGGGTTCGAAGTCCCATGCATTCTTGATACAATAAGTATCAAGTATGACCAATCCACCCCCCCCCCCCCCTGTTGATGGTGCCCCCCAAAATTTCTGGACCCATACTACGCCGTCGCATTTTACTGAAACAAAAACTGTGTCAATAAATGCAATTTGAGACGATTGGGGAAGGAGGAAGGGAATCTTGAAAGATTAGAAATAATGTTTTCTCTTAATCAAAAACTGAAAATCAAACATCTTATAAGACATAACAAAAGTTTTATTGGCATCACATGTCAATCTTCATGTTTTAGTATTGGTTTCGGTTTGGTTCAAAGTCCCTTTGAACTTTGATACAATTAAAAAGCCCACACAAAGAAGGCGGAAGGAAGCTAAGATGGTAACAAAGTTCATATTTCAACCAGCAACAAAAAAGCAGAAAGACAAGGATATATCTATTCATTTACATTATATTTCATTACATCACTTGTTCATATCCATTGAACACTTCATTCTTAGGGGCTGTGATGGCTTAATTTAGCTCGGCAAAATAAAAGTTCGTAATCACTTCATCTGCAGACGTTAACAGGACATGATGGCGTTGAAAGAATGCTCCGTTCTTTCCTCTTTGACCATGTTGGTGGTATATTTTCTTCTCGTATTCCCATGTCTAATAACAATTCACGGAGATGCATTGCCGACCTCAAAGCTGACTGTGGAGAGTTCTATTCAAGTATGCTCCCAGGACCCTAAGCTGAAGGAAGCTTGGTGCGACAACAGAAGACTTACTTCAATTCCTCAAGACCTTGCTGAGGATATCGAGCTACTCTCCATGCATAACAACAATGTCAAAGCCCTTTTAAACTCCTCGTTTGTAAGATACCCTCTCATCACAACCCTAGATCTTCGTTTCAACGACATCAGGGCCTTGGATCACACAGCTTTCTACCCTCTCAGGGATCTGAGGAATCTATTGATGTCTTTCAACCCACATCTTGTGCTGCCGGATACGGGGTTACTCCGTTGGGCGAGTAAGCTGTCCATTCTGGATTTGTCCAATTCAAACATGATATCGCTTCCTAATGATACTCTCAGGTGGAGCCCAAAGCTGGAGGAATTAAAGTTGTCACATAACCAGTTTGCTTTCATCAACATCAGTTCGTGTGGCACGGTCAAGAACGTTCACTTGGAGGGGAATCAGCTGGCACACCTCAGCGCAGAATCTTTCAATTTAGTGTGCGATATTGATGTTTTGGTACTGGTAGAAAACCCAATCAAATCAGTAGATCCTAATGTGATTGCGTCACTAAATGTCCGTGATTTACTGATCGGAGACTCCCCTCTACCTTTGAAAGTCTTCAGAAACCTATTTATGGGGATCTCACGTTCTGAAATAGAATTTTTGTCAATTACAGGGTCCAATTTGACTGCGATTCCAGTAGATTTCTTCGACTCCTTTTGCAATTGTCCTCTGTCTTTTCTCGACCTTCAGACGGTTGGTCTGAAGGCTCTCTCTCCGTACCTCTTCTCAAATTTAACCCAACTCGACAAACTTTCTCTCAGCTCCAACAATATAGTTACGATCGAGCCGGATTTCTTTGAAGGAATGCAAGATTTAAGAAGCCTGGAGCTGGAGTTCAACAACATACAACACATTAATCCATACAATCAAACATGGAATATAAAAGTACAAGAGCTGCAATTGTATAACAATTTGCTTATAGAAATTTCACAATCTGCCTTTCTAGGGTTGAAATATTTAACCCTCTTGGATTTGAGTAGGAACAAAGGCCTCACTTTCTTAGAATTCACAGCGTTCACCGGACTTGATAGCATTCAAAAGATATTTTTATCTGAATGTAATATACACCATTTGCTATTGGAAACCCCATCGTTAACATCACTTTTACTGAACAATATTATAGAAGGAGATCATGGGTGGGACCCCAAGGAATCCGTCAAACATTTACGTTCTCTTATATATTTAAACCTTGATGCGACGGATCTTGGTGTGTACGATTTGTGGTTTATGAACGTTTCTCTCTTCGATGGGATGGATAACCTAACGACTTTGTACCTGAGTAAAAATACCAGATTCTCGTGGAATTTAGCAGGTTTGCTACCTGCTTCGTTCCAGAACTTCAAGAATTTGCAAAGCCTTAATTTAGACGATTGTGATATTTCAATCATTCATTCACATCTCTTTCACGACCTGGTGTCCCTTCGTATGCTGAGTTTATCAGGAAACAGGATTCAGCTACTTCGTTATGATATGCTGACAGAGTTAAGGCAACTAACACGCATAGACCTTGATAGAAACCTTCTATCTTACCTTGATGAGACAATATTTTCGAACAATCTACGGCTTAAATATCTTTCATTAGCAGACAACAAACTGACCCGTCTCAACCAATCTACTTTCAAACCGATTGAGAATTCCCTGTCATCTCTAGACTTATCAAGGAATCCTATTTTCTGTAATTGTGATCTAAAATGGCTTCTCGATTGGCAAAAGAGATCACCGAACCTCACCATGCAGCACACAACAATTACTATTTGTTCGTCAGCATCTCTTGCTCCTCTTCGCGAAAAGCCTCTCCGGGATTTTGATCCAAGTAATCTCTGTAGGCTCAGCAGTACCATTCCATGTTTTATTTCTCTCGCAGTCATTTGCATGGTTGTCATTGCAGTGCTTGTGCATCATCATCGATGGCATTTGAGGTATAAACTCTTTCTCTTGAAACTGGCATTAGTTGGCTATAAAGAAGTCCGAGACGCTCGCAATCACAATGACTACGAATTCGACGTAAATGTCATTTGCTATGACGATGATGAAGAATGGATTCGTGACCATCTTCGTCCGGCTCTTGAAGAAAAGCTTCCACAGTTTCAGAGGAATGTTTTTGGTGATGAAGACGTCGTGCCGGGAATGCATTATCTAGATGCAGTTTATCACGCGGTGACTCGGAGTTACAAGACACTCATTGTGCTTAGCAGAGCCGCTGTACGCGATCGCTGGTTCATGCTCAAACTGCGCATCGCCATGGACCACGTGAGTGATACTCGAACCGAGTTCGTTGTTGTGGTCTTCCTCGAAGACATCCCTGATGATGAGATACCTTTCATGGCGAGATTGTATCTCAACGACGGCAGACCCTATCTCTACTGGACTGATGATGTAAGAGGACAAGAGTATTTCTGGAATAAATTGGCAAAGAATCTGACTATCAATCTAAAGACTGATGACTTGATCCCAAACGAGTAGATATGTTTCGAAAATAACTGTTGACCTTAAGCCATGTCATGTTAAACATATCCAACGTGGGGATGAACCATTGGTGTACCTCCCTACTGCGAATGGAGGCCTAGTATTTAACAAAATCAACATAACTTAAAGTGAGTCTACGGCTGCCCAGAATTTTGAATTTCTAGTTTTGGCATAAAAACTTCGATTTTTTGCTTCAGAGGTTTTATTTCAGAATATAACAAAGTATATTTATGGCAAAAAAAAGTATGCTGACAGAGTTGACTGGTTACCAACGAAAATAAATAACAATAACTATCTAGTATTAGGATTTCGCGTCATTCTTTTATTTTATTGAATCGTTGTTCAGGCCTAATATGTTTTTATTTGAATACAATATTACTCAAGCTGAACAAGAGTTAAAGTGTGTACTAATAATGTAAAGTGTATGATTTAAGTAACTCTACATTATGATTATATCAAACCATTTTCCAACATTGTATCAGAGCCTGTGTAAACTAATCATAACTCGTTAATATAAGTTTGTAATAGTAACGTAAATATGTATTATTGGACTGTTTATAATCTTGTTGCAAACATACATGTATGCTTATCCTGATAATGATCACTGCAACAATACTTTTGAACGGCAACTTTCTGTATAATTATCAAGTATATACTCTTTACAAACGTGACGTTAAGGTTTGGTCCCCACACGTAAACATATCTAATTGATACACGTCTGTAAAAACACAATTACATACACACACTCTATACAAACTGTTAAAACAAGCATGAGTATATTTAGAAACATTATTTTGCATTGTCAGTGTAAAGTGCCTTTGTATATATTGTATTTATCAATAATTTCTTATAACATTCAGTAATACCTAATTTCTTTAGGTCTTATATTTCAATCATTTTATTGAATCAAATAATCAGTAAAGTAAACAATTACATTGTCTGGTCACACCAATTAGCTGTATATTGTTTCTTTATCTTCTTTGATATATACATATATTTTCTTTTTCATAATTTCTTTATCATGTTCATGCGTTTTTGCCACTTAGCTGGTTCGCGAGCTCCTATGATTTTATACTGTTTGCCTGTAATAATTTGATTTAATTATTTTGGTAAGGGTTTGTTAAACCAGTGACAGGTTCAACAATGTTTAGACGGCAGTTGATTTATCTGTAAATTATATCTTATGAAAGGCGTTTTCAAAAGGCAATATTTTCGTTATTTTCGATAGTTTCTTTCTGGGCACCATAATGGTAGTTTTAAAAGCAGTTGTTATTTTTTTTCTTCAAATAACTATTTTATACTCTATTTTTCTCAAACAATATGCACATCTTTTTTAAGCATTCGTGTGATATTATTATCAAAAATGAATTATTTTGCTTGATTTTATTCTATTTTATTTATTCATTAATCATCAACTATTAATTCAATGTAGATCATTATGGTCCAAACACAAATATTATAAATACAAGCAGTTTTTCAACGATACTAGCAAAAATAGTTAACATGATACTACAGTAATAGGCGGAAGATTTCCTTGTTAATGGTCAGAAAGCTTTATTATTCCATTGTTTATAGGGGTTGTGAAACCGATCCCTCTATAGGGGCATCTCCCTCTCGAGATCTGTTGGCAAATTATTTCAATTTTTGTTTTCTTCAAGATTTATTCATTTAATTGTATAAAAAAAGAACATTTTGTAGTATTTTGAACAGACGTCTGGTTACATATTTAGTAGAAATAAACTCTATGTCCAAAACCAGACAGGCTTCAGGGTAAAACACTAAAATATTTTTTAGTAATGTTATAGAAAGTGTTCATTATTTTGCAATGGATAAGAAATATCTTAGGGGTAAATAAGAAGAGTAGTACATTAGTTGTGTTGGCTGAAGCTGGAGAATATTCTATGATTATCGATATATGTAAACAAATTGCATGAAATATTTGATTCGTATGAAAATTGTTGATGAAACTCTTTGTTATATTCTTCTTTTTTTTGTAAAGAAGAAAAGGTAGCAAAAAATGGCTTAGTAATGTTCACAATTTATTAAAGAAAAATAATTTATATTATAGAATTAGAAAATATTATAGATAAGAATAAAAAAGTCGGAGTGGAAACAGAAATTAAACTTCGAGAAATATATGATTCTCAATTTAGAATGGATTTAAACAGTGCTTACAGGAAGGAGAAAATAAATTGCGACCATGTAGATTGTTTCAGCAAAACATGAAACAAGAGAAATATTAGACTTTTGTAAAAAGTAATAAATTACGTAAAAATATTTTTCGATTTAGAATAAGTTAAGATAATTTACCCATTGAAATCGGAATGCATTGACGCCCGAATAACTTACCAACATATTCACGTACACGTTCCTACAATGGTTGTTAGAGTAAGGAAATTGGAGACGAAACCACACTACCATCGATTGTACAATATTTAGTCCCCAGAGTATATTGTTTGAAAAATTATAATTATTGATAAGGAATTTAGATTTGAACAATAAAGAAACTTTCGTAAAAAAAATGAAACTAGACGATACAAACGTTATTTGTAATTTTATTTAATTTATAAGACGTGTTGTACCTGTAAAAGGAGAATTTTTAATACTTTGTGCATAATGAAACTAGACGTTAATACAAGTTTTTGTAATATTATTGAAGATGTGTTATACTGTATGTAGTTAAATGTGAAAACTTTGTACAGGTGGGGAAAAGAAAAAAAAGAATTGCTATATGATTACTTTTTGTTTGTTAATGTTAATTATCTGTAACAAAATGTCACTGTGCCTTCTGACGATGTTATTTCAATAAATTTAAATTCAAGCAATTAAAAAACGTGACCTTGAAATAAATATTGATCAATCTAGGCACATCTATTTCGTCAAAGAATATCCAAGATTAAAGATTGAAACAGACCCTGTTTAGTTCACGTGCATTAAATACCTGACAAGGAGATTTGTGAATAAAGAAGAAGGCGGAAGGAAGTTTGAAGAAAATGATAATGGCGTGATATTACAAAACCAAATGCAGAAAGACGATCATACATTCATTTAGAGAGAAGATGTAAGATGAGAGAGGAAATAGAGAGAGGGGTAGAGAGAGAGAGAAAGAGAATTTCAGATAGAGAGAGAGAGAGAGAGTGGGTGGGTAATAAATTTGTTGGAATAATAGTTTCAAAATTATGTTTTTCTTTTGCCTTTCGATTTAAAAAACTGCATCAAAAAGCATTAACAATCATGATTATTCGTCCTTTAACACAATGTCTATCATTTATATTAAATAAACCTTGAAAATCCCCCCCCCCCCAAAAAAATGGCGGTAGTTTAACACGTCATATCTGATATGACAGAACGCTGAATCAAACAAACAATATACAGCCGGGCTCTTTTCTGTCAAATAATGATCATAGATTTACATTAATGATGAGCAATTGATAGGGTTTGTTAATTTCACTGGTTTCTTTGATGTCGAATGATGGGCTGCTTTGATCGTAATTACAGCGATGCCATTGGGACTGTCTTCCTTCGTCCAGTAGAGTTTGAAGTAGCGTATATCTCGCAGTTTTTCTCGCTCTTCTGAGTCATCGCCGCTGGTGTCAGGGTCAATCATGTAGCCTGTGAGCTCGTGAGCACCGTCGCTGTCAACGTCCATGTAGAATGATTTTGCAGTACCAAAGACACAGAAATATATTCGTCGTGGATCTCCTGCCAAAACAAAGAAATTTAGCAAATCTTACGAGGAAACAAGGACAATTATTCTCCTGAACTAATCTTATCTTTAATTTTTTTTTTAATATTGACAAAACACACACAACAAGTAATATTGCTTAAAAAGCAAAGTCTGAGTTCAGACAAGACAAGATACGTACAACTTCAAGATACTGAATGTCCGTCCGCGGTATAGGTGACGTATTATACAATAATAATTTCACTTAATTTAAATTCATTTTTCATGCAATTATAGTTTCCGACTTTTCGCCAGCCCACATACAATTATACTGTTAAGAAGGACACTAAGAAGGACATGGAATTATGCATATTTCTTAATATTGGTATGGTTAAATCTTCTGCAAACACCCTCTCCCGGCGACTATTCGAAACGTTGATTAAACGCTTTTTGATGAAGGTAATTTGAGAGCTAGCTACAATGTCTGTAACTTGTTTATATCATATCACCAATGTTTTCAGTATGAAATTAATGGAATACCGTGATATTACAATAAAAATGCAATCAAATATAATTATCTTTTCATGATAAATCCATGATTTTGTATTCGAAAGACCTTCATGAAGAATCTTTCTATCTTTCCGCGTAAAAAGTTAATGCCTACCCTATCAAAACAACTCTTGGTTTGTCCATTTGTCATTTTTTTCATCAAATTTATCTCTTTGTCTAGGTTATATTGGCAGGCCAAACAAATGAAAAGGTTAAATTCCAACGGCATTTGAAAGACAATACTAATTTAGAACTTCCCTGAAAAGGGGGGGGGGGCTTGGAAATGTCTTTATAAAGTGGGAAAATAACGCCTTACGAATATTAGTTGTCGAATCGACTGAAGAGCTATAGAGCCAGTAAGTAATAGTCTGATTTTCAGACCATTGTACCGAATGGTCGTACGTTTTATGCTGCGTAAAGATTCAATCAGTTTAATTATGGCCATTACAAGAAGTGGGTTATTATTACCAAAGAAGAAAAAAGCCAGTCAGTCTTTCAATAGTGTCTGACAGTGAAGTTTAGCAAGTAAACGGGTTTCCTTGCATAATTTGAATATTAGGACACTGCTAATGTTTAAATTTCGCAGATAGGACATACATGACATGTTCATAATTCCTGCAAGGTTCTACAGAATTTAATGTTGGTTGCAAAAGGGACATAGTATCTTTAATATTTAAGAATCGTTACAATTTTTGTTACCTAAATGATATTTCGAAGATACTTAAAATTATGATAATTCATATTATATCAATTAATAATAATGATAATACCCGTTTCTTACCAAGCGCTTTACCATCAATATTAACCAAAGCGCCTACAATATTATTATTACCCCGGTCATTGGATTATATCACCATTCTGCACAATAAGGTGCACATTCTCCACTCCATGAGGACGTTAGAATTTGTCGCCTACATGCTAATTTAACCACAATGACGTTCGCATCATACCAGGTACACATTAAACACCTGGGAGGAACCATGTAAATAAACCAAGTAGTTTTAAGAGATGAAGGCCCTACTGGCGACAAATTATTCCAAGCAGCTGCCGTTTTCTATGGTTGCACAATGGAATCTACTGGTGTGCTGTTACCTTTGATGTCCGAGGTTCGAAGCCGCCAATATCATTGGAAAGCTTGAGTTGTGATTTTTTTTTCACAAAGAAATATTCTTAATATTTCACTATTTATTTGAACTAACAAGGATAAAATCGAACAGATGATCAAATATGAATACAAAAGCCTAATTATGTCAAGAAATTTGCTTACATTGTATGATAGCAGCTTTAAAATAGTAAAATTGTACAGTCCTAAAACCTGCAATTTGACACTTTTCCAATTACTTACGGCTCACGAAAATAAAAAGTGAATTTGTTCATGCACAATTCTTTATGATGTTTTATGTCAGATTAGTGCCACACATGCCCAGTCAAGTAATTTTGATTAATATTTCAGGAAGCTTTGCTCCATTTCCTTTCGCTTGCCTCCTGTAAAGGTAAGCACTGTGAACTGCTCGTATTATCAGACGAGTGGTAGCGAAAAGTAATTATCATTACAAAGGCATCTTCCCCCTTTTTTTTTTAAGTGGCCCGTTAGTTTGCAGCTAGGCAGGAATCTTTTGTCTACGTATCTTCATAAAGATCCAGTTAAGTACATGCCTGACATATTTTCTCCTGGCGGCATCGAAGTTGGTACAAAGGGAATGAGCTAGATATGACTTCATCTCTTAAGACTCCTTGATGATACACAGAAGGAAGTATTCTTTACAAGAGGACAAACAAAAGGCAATCGTGAAGCACCTCCGTCACCTTGGCCGTAATCATTCTAAAGGTGAGACGTCTCTATGTGAAAAAGATCTGTGGATATTTGGGGGTCATATTTTGTACAAGTGCTTATTTCCGAATAATGCCCATTTACCTTTAAAAAAAGGGTCGATTAAAAGCTGAATAACTATACTTCACCAAAAACATCAACTAACAACAATTGCCCATCGAGATGCGGTTATCAGACTCCCCCTTGTCTTAACATTCTTTTATAGAATTGAAATAAAAGAACGGGAGAATAAAAAATTCCTCAAGTCAGGTCGTTCAACTGTACAAGAAATGTATTCGATAACATCTTCTTACGAACAAATGGTAGGCAGGTTTTCAAACGATGGGGAAACATTAAAATGATGTTTTCTCCAGATTCATCCCTTGGTTTGCTACGAATGTCTACTAGCATAACCAGAGCAAGGTTAATCCTATCTTACCCCATTCTCTTTCTACCGTTATAAAATGCAGATGAGATATTACAAATTCGACGTCACAAATTGATAGTCTGTATAGATTTAATTGATTTGAAACGAATTTAACTAAGACAACTGCCGAACTTACACAAAATATTGAAAGGCAATCACTAATTATAACAGAATTGCAGTTAACGATTACAAAGATATTATAATATTCTTACACTCCTTAGGACGTTAGTCAAGAAACAAAACTTCCGACTGTTGACCTAGGCCATTTTTTGTGGTTAATACACCGGTATCTTTTTCCTCTCTACATCACAGCAAACTAATTTGTTATATTGTCAGTTCCCAAAGCATTCAAATTAGGGACTTTTAGATTCGCACGAAGACAATAGGGGATTGCTACGGCCGACGTCCTTTTAATGCACTGCCTTGAATGGACGTCACATGTATCAGTCCACGCAAATCTAAAAGTACCTATTGATGGCAGGGTGCAAAGTGAATACGAAGGAATTTGTAATGGAATATCGCACCATGGTCCACTAAGGATTTGTTTTAAAATGTGATTGTAGTGATGTGATAGGCAAGTTCAATGTAACATTCATACGAAGAGTAAAATGATGCATGTATAATAAAATAAAAATAAATTAATAATACAAATAATTTGACAGGATAAGCTGGAAATAGCTTATATTTACAATGTGGTTCTATTTACAACGTCAGTATTGATTATTTATTCATTTAAAGGTACAAAATAATCACTATAAAAGTCAAGAAATATAAGCACAAACATTAAAAAAAATACTTTGAGGTTAACAACATTTCAGTAAGGGAAATAACACTAATAAAGAAGTTAATCAATATTTTCATAATTTTTCAAGTTACACATGAATTATGATATCATACCTCTTGTTCCATGTCTTGAGTCTCTAGTGATAGGCACCTCTTAACCTCAACTTTAAAATGTGTGATGTTTTTAATTGGTTTTAAGTAGTGTTAAAAATCTACTTCGATGAAAGAGAGGAAAAGGTGATTAGGGAAAATTGTTATCAGACACTTTAAAAAAAACTTTTGTTTTGCTCTATAGTACAATATTTAGTCAGTACGTGCTTTCTCACTCACACAAACGAATATAAAATATCAATCAAAGAATATAGAAACAAAATACTGATATATTAAAGGTTTTTATCTTGCACTCAAGAATAAATCGCAAAACGATGAATCAAGACGAAACTATTTTGATAGTGTGTCTGTATTCGTTGCTATTCTTTGACTTTGCAGTACCAATAATTTTGTTTAGATATCGAAGAAAACAATTACACAACAAAGACGTACATGGTGTATGTATGTTTTATGTATTTACAAACTATTTCAATAGGGGGACGTTATCATTATATTGGGTAATGACAACTGTATACATGCAACTAAAATCTATCGAGAGAATGGACATCTTCTCATTCGTTAAGTTATTACATAATAAACAATTTAATATTAAACATATCGGCCCATATTAGAGTATAATGTAGAGCAGAAAGGTATACACAGTACCAAGAATGGTAATATAGAGTGAAATGGATTACAGTGATAATTTGATAAAATACAACTTCTTGTCACAAGCAAACGCGAGCATGTCTGGAAAGAGGGAAACCAAGTAACACCAAACATTTCCAAGCGTCAGGTTGAGTACATTGAACTCAACTCTTTCCTTCAGGTTCAGACTATCAAGGTCATAGAGCCTGATCACCACGTTACCTTTCGATTGGTCAACACTCGCTACATACACCCTGTCCTGCTCATCCACGGCAGCAAACAGGTCGATATCGCGGTCTGGAGCTTTTAGAGGCTTACCGGCATTCCCATCCCTGTCATAGACCGTCACCACGCTTTGATTGATGTCACATGAACTCATGACAATCAAACCCGACCTGGTAGCAGATACCTGGAGCGTCCCGTGTTCTGTTGGAACAGTGTGTTTGAGAGTAGATCCAGTCGGGTCATAGATGTAGACTTGCTTTTCAATGTTAGCAATGAGGATTTCATCTGATGGACTTCTGTTTAGTCTGAGGGGAAAATCATTGCCTTTCACGTAGATGGTTGATTTCCTGTATCCATTCGGAGAATATATGTGTGCTCTATTCTTATCCGCCGGTATGCATAACGACCTGTCTTGTTGAAAAACAAGATCATAACACTTCATGTTACTTGGTATGTTTGCATACTGCTCCTGTTTACCAGCTGAATCAATGATATCTATACCATGTGTATCCCAATATCCGATAGCCACACTGTCATCAGAGTACTGGGTCATTCCATGCATCCGTCCTCGTAGACCTACACACTGAATGACTTGCAACTTGGGATCTGATTCCGAGATGCTCCCGAGGTCAAGACGACTATCATCTGCAGGCTTGAACCTCTTCTCCTGTGCTTTCTTCGTAATGGCTGCCGTAGAAGTGTGATCAGTAGCCTCCTTCAGTAAGGCATCCATCTCCTCACAGAGCAAGATATGAGCAGACAGACTGTCTGTCTCGAGACGACCCAGTCTGTCGTTAGATACCAGTGTTTTTAACCTACAAATACTCTTGATCCTCTGTCGATCCTTGGATTTCAAGACGTTGAAGTTATCATCGAAACCCCGCTTTACTGCATTGATTTGCTCGATGAGATTTCCATGATTTTCTTCAAGCTTTTTGGCCTTGATGCTGTAGGCTTGACTGACATCGTCCAGTAGTTTCTGCACGGCAGTGTATACTTCATGGCGTTGTACTTCAACATTCTGAATGTTCTTCTCCAGTTCTTTCTTCTTAGCGGCACATCGCTGGACAAGGTCGTTCACCTAAACAAAAATAAATAATAGAGAAGTGAAAAGAATATTTTCTAGCGTTACATTTACATGAGATAAATGCTAATTATTACATGGAGTTGATTTGAAAATGAGACACGGATTTCGAGCGCGCCTGAAGTTTTACCCCTTAAAAGGTAAACCACAACATGGAGGTAACGAAGAGATAGAGAGATTGAGAGTAACATACAAATAGGGAGAGCAGAAAAACATATATGTATTGTCAGTATTGAGTGCTTCGCTTTCATGAAGCCTTCACTTTAGGGGCACTTGTATTCTTATCTATATTAGATGCTTTGTATATTTTGATTTTTAATGGTTGAAAAAATGGAACTGAACTGAACTGAATTGTAACCGTTCCTTCGTAATCGTAACTCTAGATTTTTGTACAAGGATTTATTTTTTTACTGATGTATAATTATAGCTATGAAATGTAGCTACGCTTATTACCTCCAAATAGCCGCAGATTTAAGATATATGTATATTGAAGCATACTTTAAATTATTAATTTTAAAATGCCATAACATACTTCGTGTAAATGTGTTTCTATAATATCAAGGATCATATAGCTCGACAGAAAGTGAACTAATACGCGAGGGAGTTTAGCGACCGAACGAAACAATTGCCTCAGTGAAATTGAAAAGTGTTATCAAGTACTGTTTGAAACACAACGGAAAATCTAAGCCTACTTCAAAATAGTGATTTGCGTATTATATGTGAGCAACAGAGACAGGCTTTCTACAGTATAAACATATAGGAATACACTTCTTTCTATATATTTTTTAGGGAATGGTAGTGAGAAAGTTTAGGTTTTGAAAATGTTAAATTCTGCATTTTAGAGGTCTAATCTGCTCATAGGGCTATGCTCCAAAATATTCATTGTTAAGGGGGAGGTCTCATTTTGTCACCACCCTTTGATATATAAGAGTATCTGCTTCAATGCATGCGGTGCATGCCAATATTGTAGACATGGTTTAGAAACATAACAAATACCTGGTCTTTAATATTCGAGGCAGCATAGCGACCGAGTGGGGAAAAGTTGATAATGGGTTGCTGGAAATTTACATTTCAGAACACTTGAAAGCCTATTATAGTCCTAAGGAATAACATGTATTTTTGTTATCTTCCTTGCGAGCCCCCCTCCCCCAACTTGAATTATTGCATCAGCCAACTCTGCCCCCCCCCTTCTCTTTGCGAAACCACGTTTACATTAAGTCGTAATTCTTGCTCGAAGTCAGCCAGATTCTTCATTTTGTGATTTTAATGACCAACTGAGACAGACGTGCACTTTACAATCCCTGTAAGGGGGGAGGGGCTTATTATCATTATGCCTAACCCCTTGATAGATGGGAGAATCTGCCCCCCTGGTTGCGGTGCCTTAATTATAGACAGGGTTTGCATATACAATAAACATTGGGTCTATTATGTATGTATGTGTGATTTTAGGATGCAGAAAATTACTTTTCAAAGCACTTGAAAGCTTATTCTGATGCAAAGGAAATTATTGTAATTTTCCTCTTTTTTTCCTTGCGAGGGGAGCCCAGAGGGCTAAAATCAATTTTGTACCCCACTTGAATATTAATTTGGGGACATCAACCCCCTGCCCACACCCCCATCCCCCACTTCCGGTGACTATCCCCTATCCGAATTGTGTGAGTACCACTTGTCAGGCCTTAGCCAAATGCAATTATTTTTAGTCAAAATAATAACACTTTTACCTTAAGTCGTAACTCCTGCTCGAAGTCAGCCTGATTCTCGATGTTGTGATTTTTATGACCGACGATCACGCACTTGAAACAGACATGGACATTACAATCCTCACAAAACATATCTTTGTTCTCTTGTTTGTGGATGCAGCACTTCTCGGATACATGACTAATGCTGACCTTCCCGTTGTTGATATCCTGTATAGATACAATATCGTGACCTTTATAGGCTCTAAGATTTTGATGACAATCCAGACACTTATCACAAATGTAGTTATTACATGTACAGCAGAATGAGACAGCATCTAGCTGAAACATGCAAGCCGTGCATTTTGGACGCATCTCAAGGACAGCGTTCATCCCTCCACACTTGGCGTGGTAATTGTCTACAAATCCGTTGACAGTCACATTGGTAAGGAAATCATCGACACGGTTCGCAGACAACTTGGTGATCTTCCTGCAGTGAGGACAGATCATATGATCGAGATCCTGTTGGGAAAGGTCATAGTTCTTGAGACATTTCCGACAGAAGGTGTGTCCGCATGAAGTCAAGATGGTTGCCTCGTCAAAGAAATCAAGACATAGTGGACATGTCAGGTTCTTTGAAGAGCTTGGAGCTTTCTCTTCCTCGGTCTTCTCAGCCATTTGTACAAAATTTATGTCGAATTTCTGGCTTATTACAAACACGAGCACATTCTACGCCTATTACATCCAAATGATGTCCAATAACAAGTGTGATCGGCTTATGTGTACTAGCTAGAAGTAAACAGTCAGTTCATGCAAGCACAACCTATATGTACCAATATGAGTCTACGGATCTACGCAACAAGTGCGTCCTAACTGCTGCATATAGTTCTGTACCAAGTTCGTACGTTGATTAAAAATATGTGTCGAAAGAGGTGCACCTCGCTTTCATCAAAAGTATTATAATTCTCCATTCAAATATGTACCTGGATACAAGTAAGGTTACAACTAATAGATATACTTGTGTAGATCTTCTGTGAATACAATGCAGTTTGTGCATCCTATAAATAGATGTGGGTTTTCCCATGTAGTGAATGCGAGCAGCGTATAAGCACCTTTGAACTTTATGGCGGTATTCATCGTTTCTGTCCATAGAAGGCGACTTATTTAGGGTTTCAGTACACTAGTTTTCAGTTGTGGATATAATATTATGTTAAAGATCAACTTTAGAAGAATCTTGGATAAAAGAGCAATTTCTTTTCTTCATTCCTATGTTTTGAGGGGTAAAGGACGGTAACCACACTTATATGTCACTCCTTCTTTCTGCACTATTCTTCCTTTCATTTCTTTCATTCTCTTCCCTTTTCTCTGTAAAAAAAAATCTCTTAAAATGTTTGCGTATTGAATGCTACGAGGCTACACTTATTACAATGGAAAAATTCGCCTGAAAAAATATTTCACCACTTCTTCTCTTATGAAAAAATCTGATGACTTAGGCTATAACCAAGACAATGTGAATCATGTTTGACTCAAGAGCTAATAATGAGAAAAATTATACCATATACAATATGTATGCCATATTGCATGGAAATATGATTCATTAAAAAAAAATAAGGTAATAAGGTAATCGTAAGCAGGGACAGATCCAGGGGGCACAGGGGGTACGTGCCCCCCCCCCAAAAAAAATAGTGCTCACTGTATGACAATACTGTAATATAAAGGCCACTAGAGTGTGTGATTCCATCCCTTTCTTTGTCCGTTTATAATTATGAAAAGAAAATATATGATTAAAAAAATAAATGAAAAGCACGTAACTAATGGTATCTGATTTTAAGTTCAGAAATTAATGAAGAGATGAATTGCTTTCCATTAAAACCCATTATGATGTAATTGAACAATCGCTCATCAGCTTAATGGAGGTGATTTAGATTCAAAATCACCTAAATTAAAAAGGGTAAAATATTGATAGCATAAATTCCACGCCACCTCCATTATTGCAATAACAATGCGCTTACAATGGGGAGCAGAAGCCATGCCACCCTGTATGGTCTTATAGGCTTAAATGGAGGCTTTTATTAATCAGATATAAAAAGCTTTATTGTCAAAACCTTTTATATCTGATAATATATTAATGCAGTACTTACTCCTTAATAACAAAGTTAATGTTGAAGAAGAAAAAATTAGTAATCAAAATACCCATCAATCACGCTTAAAAATATTATCATTAAATTCTGTTTTAAATGCAAGTTAATTTCAGTTTGCTTTGTATCTATTGCTGGTAGATACAGTATGGTTTGCAATAAATGACCAATCAATTATAAAAAAATCCACCCCAAAGTACAGTGACATTAACATTAAGCTAGATCAAATTAATTTGAAACAATTTATGGCGGATCCGGAATCCGAAAGAAGGGGGAGGGATACCACTGTGTTGAAAATCGTAATCGTCTAGGATCCCTCTAAAGCGATCTACAGAGCATACCACTACTATTATTTTTGTATGGAGGGGGGTGGGTACCCAATGGAGGTCCGCTAGTTAGCCAATACAAAGCCAGAAACTAAGGGGGTGTTGCAGCGCATGCGCCAGTCTTTCCGATATCAGTCAGGTCTTTTATGTCGGAGTATAGATACACGTACCTCACTTTCATCAAAATTTAATTCAACATGGGCATGGAGACAGTTCAAACAGGGGAATGCTTCGAATTAAAAGAAAGAAATCCTTCTCGGGATGAGGAATCTGTGGATATGTCTTCAAGATTTGGAGACGTCGACAAGGCCCTCTTTGCTGCGATTGAAGCAGGTGACGAGGTAGCAGTGGAATATATCTTGCAAGCCATCAAAATTAATCAACTTCAGAGGGGCTTTCGAGATGAAATTGGGAGATCGACATACGACTATGTGATAGAAGGTGGATTCGTGCGTAAGAAATCACTTCGCTAAATACTTTTCAAAGAAGACTTATTGTCATTGTCTACTCCGTTTTTCTTTTATCTTATTTTACTCTATTTAATAACATATCATGTTTTTGGTACTTTTCTTATGTTGCTTAGGTGTAATTTCAAAACTTTATAATTATGTAAGCAACGGGAGACGCCAAAGCATCCAATGGAATGGATATATACATTATAAATGAGGCTATTGTTATCATTATAATTCTAATTGAAGAATGATATGAAATTGTTTATCTAAACTTTCTCCTGCGGCGCTTAGCAATTTTGGAGAGTTTACTGGATGTAGGGATCCCTTTAGGAGACGCCCTTCTGAGATCCATCGCCGCATCATGGCATGAGGGAACCGTGTTTATCTGCAACTACGTCATGACTCTCCCTCCAGAAGTAAGCGAACTTCTTCTTAAGAATAAATTTGACAAATTGGTGGATTTTCACTCTTAAGACTGTTGAAAGCAAATGAATATCACTTAAAGAAATAATAATGAAAGGAATAGGCCCTGTGGTTTATCATGTTTACATTCTTTTTGTTCTTCTTAGTTTGCTGCTATTTATAATGTTCCTATATAGTGTGATGCTAATACTTATTGCTTTTCATTTTCTTTTGTTTCAAACTGCGTGTATTAATACACCGTTGTCATCTTTATTAGATCAGATATGAATGCTTTATAATGTTTGACAGGGCCCCAATGGAAAACAGTCTCGTTAATGTTTAAGCTCTTTTACCGTGTATAAATAAATATAAATAATAACAAATATAGTATATCTATCTCTTGTTTATATCAAACTGGTTTTGTATAACGTTTACAAATATATCAGGTATGATACATGACTTTACGTAGCCATGATAATAGACGTTTTACTCCTCAGATTGAAGTCAGTACTGTACCTCATTGTATATTATATTTAGGAGAGGGAACCAATTTATGAATGTCGGAGCAGAAATGACGACTTTCATCCCGAGATGTCGCCGCTCAAACTCGTCGCCATGAAAAATAACTTTCAAATTGTCGAGGTACGTTTCAAAATCACAATAAAAATGGAGAAAAAAAACGAGAACGAGAGAGAAATATAAGATTTAATAGAGAGAATGGAAAATAAGAGGGAGACAAAGAGAAATATACGATTTAATAGAGAGGAAATAAAATAAGAGACGGACACGGGGTAAGAGGACACTTTTTTTTTTTTTTTTGACCTCGAAATTTGAAAATTTGACATTTTTCTCCGTGGGGGGGGGGGGGGGTAAGGTCACCTGTTTTAGGTCAGTCATGGGGATAATTTTTTTTTTTTTTTTTTTTTTTTTTTAATAATTTAAAAAAAAAAAAAAAAAAAAAAAATCCAAAAGGGGGGGGGGGGGGGGTTTTAGGGGGGTTTTGGGGTTTTTTTTCCCCCAAAAAATACCAAAGGGGGGGGGGTTTAACCCCCCAAACCCCCCTCCCTGCGTACGCGCCTGTATATACATATATATATATTTATATACCTCATTTTAAGATTCTTTACTAATCCTGTCTTCTGATTGGTTGAAAATGCAGTCATGTTCTTAACCATGCCCGCTAATTGAAATTCATAGTCATTTTTCCCGGCTCTACCGGTTTATATCCATTTTTCATAGCACTTTTTCCATGGCTGTGAAACGTGACGTCATTTTGCTGCGATCCCCATTTTGGTTTACGTGTTACCGTATAAGTTTCTTTTGTGCGATGACCGATGCGCAATACCGTTAACGGTGTTAAGTTACTGTTCATGTTCTACTGTTCTACTGGAGCACAGCTTGTTGGTGATATCATCCTGTACAAAAGTTACTGTTCGTGTAAACGTGTTTGGTATTCCCTGTTCTACTGGAGCACAGCTTGTTGGATTTCATACTGTACACAAGTTATTGTTGGTGTTAATATTCATGACTTCAAAGAGATGGAAACCTAAATGGGTGAGTCAACATTTTCCTTTTTTTCGGTATATAAAATATATATTGACTGCTTTTAATATTCGAGGCATAGTTGTTCCTATAGGGTCTCGGGAAAATCACAACCTGCTATGACCCCGCGGCGCAAGCGCCTTAGGGTCATAGCAGGTTGTGAGTTTCCCTTGACCCTATAGAAACCACTATGCCTCTCAAAGCAGTCAATATATCCTTAATATGAGATAGAAAAGGAAGAATGGAAAGAAAGAGAAGAGGAGAGGGAGAAATACGGAGAGAGAGAGAGAGAGAGAGAGGGGGGGGTAACTACAGTGCACCTTGAATGCGGGTTAAGGATATCGCCTTTAGTATTGAAATGTATTTCTCTACATACACAAAGTTGTTATACGTCAAGAACCAGTAGCTACAGGGGGCAAGGGCCAAGGGGACGTGCCCCCTTGGCCCGCTGTAGCTCGTCTGTCATGAACACCTACCATTGACAACACACTACACATACAGCATAATTAAAACACATTTCTGTGCTATTTTTCTATATTTTAATAAAACGTATCTTCGCTTAAATAACACCGAAATAACAGGTTCTTCTTAAAGCCGGTGTGTCACCGCTTGCCAAACCCCAAGCGAGTCAGAAATCGACTGCAAGTCTCACCGATGTCGTCAGTCTGCTAGACTATTATCGAGCCGTTTCATCAGAGGCCTACCTGGGCCTTGCTCACCCCGACCCTCTTGATAACGCGTTTAGATTGAGTCGAAAGCTGAGAGAGCTGGGAAACGACTGGGAGGAGTTTAACGCTGAATTCTTCAAAATGGCGGAGAAAGTAGAAAGATTTTCAGCATCACTTTTAAATCATCTCTCATCTTCTGTCGAGGTAAGAAAGCCATTATAATCTTCCAATTAATGTAACAGTCTTATTTCATAATAATTGTATCTTTTATTGTGCGTATAATTGTATTGAATGAAACCTTATTATGTTTTTTGAATGCATAATTATGAAAGTTGAGATAAATTCAGCCATTGGCTGTAATTCACAAACTGTAATAAAGCATAGTTAATCGATCAATCAAGTGAATGAACGAAAGAATGAATGACTTATTGACTTACTGACTGACTGAATGCATAAATATAAAAAAAAAAACAAGTGAGTTGATTAATAAATAAAAAATTAATAAACAAATTTCATCCTCACCCTAATTCCAGCTTCAGACGCTTTTCACGCAAAGCAGCATCCCAACCAGGAATCCGATGTCAAAAGTGGAGACAGCTATCGCATATCAGCAGAAAGATGTAAGACACTTCAATTCATTGCATCAACTAAATCATTTCTCTTTCCTCTCTTTTTCTTCAGTTCCATAAGGGGGGGGGATAGCTCCATAGCTCATAGAGCTATATAAGGCACCGCCTCATAATTATTTTCTGCATTTGAACATGTTAAAGCTGCTAACACTTTGAAAATAGGAAACAAAAATGAAGCACAATGGAGAAGTCACCTTTATAGATTATAACATCAAGGTTTTTTCAAAGGAAACTTAAAATATGCCTGTAAAAATACAATTGGCATTTTTTGTAATGTAACAAAATTTAACGCATACACCTTTGTGAAGTGCCTCTATACGAATTATTTCATGCACCTGATACTAATAATTGTATCTCTATAGTCAGAAAGTGAATAACATGCATTAGTTGTTGCAAGGTAGGACAAACATGTTGGCTTGCTCTATCTAAAAACACGTAATGTATGCAATTGTTTCTTTTTCTCTTTCTCTCTTTCTCTCTCTCTCTCTCTCCCTCTCTCTCTCCCCCTCTCTCTCTGTTTCTGTCTCTCTCTGTCTCTCTCTGTCTCTCTCTCTGTCTCTCTCTCTCTCTCTCTCTCTCTCTCGGTCTCTCTCTTTCTCTCTCTCTCCCTCTTTCTCTTCCACGCATGTCTCTCTTTGAATTCCAAAAGTTTGTCGCGCATGCGTACTCCCAAAAGGCCATGTCTTTCGCCTTCTACCAAGTCTTCGCATCGACATCGAACCTTCGTCTGGTTCTCATGACATCGCTGCTCGTGATCGCCTACCCTTTCATCAGCGTGGTCTTCCTAGCGTACCAGGGAGATGCTCTTACTAAGCTTCTCAGAACACCGTAAGTTATTAGAAAATGTTACTACTACTACTACTACTTCTACTACTACTACTGCTGCTGCTGCTGCTACTACTACTACTACTACTACTACTACTACTACTACCTCTACCACTACTACTGCTACTACTTCTACTGCTACTACTACTACTACTACTACGACTATTACTACTACTACTACTTCTATTAATAATAATAATAATAATAATAATAATAATAATAATAATAATAATAATAATAATAATAATAATAATAATAATAATAATCCGTTCTTAAAACTTTGAATGCGGTCACACTATCTTCTGCTGTGTCCACACTGCTTCCCATTGTATCACCCACTGACTGTGTAACAAGGTATGAATATACAGTGTGTAAAAAAGGTCTGTTCATACTGTTCACACTACATAAAATCAGCAGTTCACAATGATGCATACGTACTGTCACTACTGCGTTCCTATTGTGACGACACCTCCTTTGTTTTGATTGACAGGCACATCAAGTTATGGATGTCCTTTGGTTCAGACGTGACTCTCCTGATCTGCGTCGCTCTCAACTCCATCTTGGATAAGCAAGATTATACTTATCCAATCCTCTGCGTTCATGTTGTCATCTTGGTGCATTGCATAGGTAAGAGATAATACCTTCATGAGCATAACAATAGTAATGATTATAATAATAATAATGATAACACCAACAAAAGAAATACAAATTATAATAATCATAAGTATCGTTAATTTTATTATCATTTTTATTTCATTATTTTCACTGTTTTTAAAAAAAATGATTATAGAACAATATACACATTAATAATAATAATAATAATAATAATTGTAATAATAATAATAAAACAGTAATAGCAATAATAACAGTGGAGTGTGGGATGGCGCTCATGTCTGTCAAATTTCCACTAATAATAGTAATTATAATAATAATAAAACAATAATAGCAATAATAGCATTGGAGTGTGGGATGGCGCTCATGTCTGTCAAATTTCCACTCCTGGTGCTCCATTATTATTACCATGGCTTTAGCAAGGCTGTCATTAAAGCACTTGTGCAATCTAAGGTTTTGATTCCTGCTATGTACTCATTTACCTCAGCTCAACTGGCTGGAGTGTGTCAAACTCAAATATATATTAAATATTAAATCTTGCCAAATTACATTCGTGCTGCGGCAGGTATTCGAACCCCGTACCTTGTGGTTCACTGCCCGGGGACTTATCCACTAGACCCAAGGCTCAAAACTCCTATATCATCATTGTAATCATTGTTATTCTCATTTTGTAGGTCTAGTTTGGAAGCACGTGCAAGAAATCTTCTCTCGAGGTTTCATGAAGTTCATCAAGTACTACATGAACGTAGCGGAGGTTCTTATTGTCACGCTGTGCTTTGGTTTCGTCACCAGCGACTGGATTGGCCGTGTGCAAGTATGATTATAATATATATACAGTGAAACCTGTCTATACAGACCACCCAAAGTAGACAAGAAAAGTGGTCTTTATAGGCAGGTGATCTTTATGGACAGGTTCCTTTAGTACATGTTTCAATGAGAAACCATTTTCATGGGTAACAACCAATGTGGTCTTTCTACACAGGTTTCACTATATATATATATATATGTATATATATAAATATATATATTAAGATATACTTTACAAATAATTCAATTTGGATAATCCTCCGTCACGGCAATGTACAAACAGAAGTAATTGAAATACAAAAAAAATCATTGAGAGTTCACTTCTTCACTATGACAAGTTTCAACTTATTTCGTCAGATAGTGATTTCAAAATTCAAAATTACACACAAGTGAATCTTAGAAGGCGCCATTTTAGCACAATACGTTTGTACGCTTTGTTTAAATATACTTTGTTGCACTTGTTTTTAATTTGTAATTTCGATTTCACTATCTGACAAAATAAATTATAATCGGTCATAGTGAAAAATTTAACTCTTAAGGGTGGTTGCTTGATTTTTTTAAAACCATTTTATATATACTTGTGGCGCTTGCGGTCAGTCGGAGTGACGCGCGACTGTTGCAAAAAAAAAAAGGAATTTTAGAATTAAAATCTCAGCAAAATCAAAAAGACCCAGTCAAAGTTGAACTCAAAATGTACGCTTAACAAACAGGAAAAAAGGGTTATTTAACATTTTTTAATTATTTTATACGACTCTTATTTAACTTGAGCTCTAAGCAATAAGCTTACAATGTGCTACCAATTTTAACATTGCCAATCCCTGGAAACGTCTTGTTTCTGTTTGTTTGATTTTCACTTAATTTGGACAATTCCCGTGTTTATTGCGCCAAAAAATAACTACATTATATTTATCTCCAGTGTGAATGTACCCAGGAATTGTATGAAATTATGATTGATATATTTTGGAATAAAAAGTTGTTAAAAATGCTACATCTGGGCCTTTGGAAAGCCCTAAAATACATTAGCTTCAGGGGGCACTGCCCCCTGCATCCCGCCCGTTGTTGGCTCGGTCGCTACGCTCTCCCGCAGCAAAATCAAACGTACAGGTTGGCACTTCAACTAAAAATTCTTTTTGTTTTGGCACTTCTAATAAACTGTTGAGAAGGCCTGATATACATAGTTAACAACTGCATTATTCGTACCCTTTTAAAATTTGACAGTTTTTGTGTTTTTCATGATATCTAAAGAACAAAAGGTGGGCTGGTTGAATTGGGCTTTTGTTGAATAAGCTTTATATGGCATTGTCTCAAGAAACACAGCCTATATCGGGAAAATCAATTGTTCACATATTCAAACAATTTTAAAACCTGTTAGGGTGTGAATAATTTAGTTATAAACTGTATATAGTTATATGTAGTTACATTACATATACATGCATATATTTATACTAAAACAGAAAGAGAATAAAGAGCTCCTTTAACACTTATTAATATTTAAAACGAAATTTCATCCAAAGGGCTACTTCAATTTGGGATACTGCAAAGTACAAGTTCATTGACAAAAGAGGAACAAAACGCCTACAGGCGCAAAATTCTCAAGAGAAGCCCCAAAAGAGCCGATAAAAGGAGAGAGCGAGAGAGAGAGAGAGAAAGAAAGAATTAAAAAGTGAGAGAAAAGAGAGAGTCTGTTCGCTCGTTGCTGACAGTTTTGACAATCCTTCAGTAACTGGAGGACGCAAGTATAAACAGAGATAATGAATTACTGTATTTTGTTTAATGATCCGCTAAATTACCAGATTATTAAGCTATAATGGTTCCATTTATCAAGCTTACCGATGTGGTAGATATTAGCAAATTTGCAATTGGGCTCGTATTTGAGAGAAAAATTGGCTCCGAAATGGTGAAGCATTGTAACTCTTCAAAATGGTTTTAATCAAAGGAAAATTGATTCAAATGTTTTCAATTCTTGCAAGTATGATTTCGTTTCCGAGGATTGGTTAATATAGAATTGAGTGCATATTTTGTAACAAATATATCAAGTTTATTCTTCATATATAAAGACTTTTTGTTTTCTTTGCCTCATATACAGTATAAACTTTAATATCATTGATCACTACAACTCCGTCAATTTTTTAAGAAATGTTATTAATACCAAATTGATTCTTAGCATGATGACAAGTTACAACGGTTGGCAGTCGAGACCGATATGACGTCACAATGCACATCTTGGAGCTGCGCGGAGTGGAATAACCCTGTCATTGTGTCGAATGCTTTATGTGGTGAGAACTTTATAGATACAATATTCTTAAAAGGCCGACCTACTTCAAAGCTTAGAAACATTTTGGAACCTAATTTTCAATGTGCAGTATCGTCCATTTAATTAGAAGAAAAAGACAGGATTTACGCTATCATCATCAAAATCATCATCATCATCGTTATTACTTTGAAGTCACTTGTACAAATTAAAACCGCTATAAATATAATTTGAAGCCAAATATGGATTTTGTTGGTTTTGTTATGATATTTCAGTAAGAGGAGAAAGGAAGATTTATTCCATTGATCAAGTTTTATCAACTTTAATTGCAGGTCTTGTTGTGATTCTGTGCGTATTCAGAACATTCCATTCGGTCGTCACTAGCTATCACGCCATCTTCGTCATCTGGAAGTCTACGATCGGAGCCATTCGGGACCTCGTGAGATTCTCGGCAGTACTCGGCGGTGTTCTCGTATCAGTTGCTGTGGGAATGAACGCGATGTCTCTATCCGAAGTAGGCATATTTCGTGAGCTATGACGCGGCAAATCATTTCTGTATCTCAATATGACACAGGCTCAACGAATACGGAGATTAACCGCGCTATATCTGGACAACCCTTCATGGAGAAATTCTGTTATCTGATTATTTCATCAGAAACTTAAAAAAACATATAGATATGACCTTAATCATTTTTTCAAAAGCAGACTTATGTCGTCTGATGTCGTCCACGACATACTTATAGAACCTGCGCAAAATACGAGTTTTGTTTCACAAGAAATGTAGTTGTGGTAGACAACACAATGTAAAACATTACATACTATCTTTACAGGCGTCGAATATTTTATATCATATACCAATTCGCTACTATCTTCTAGGCAGCAAAGCGAAAATGATGCCCGGGATTCGTTCTCCTTGCTGTAAAATTCAGAAGGCCATTAACAAAATATACATGTTTAGCGTCCCCGCCCGACTCTTTTTTTGGGGCCGCCTCCTATTATTCTTATTTTTTTTTTTTTTTAAACAACTATTTCTGATTTTAAATTTTTTTTAAAAAATGCCGACGGGCATCTTGAAAAATAGCCCAACTGTCAGGGAAAATGTACCGAGCGGCCATTTTGAAGAAGAAAAAAAGGGAAAAAAGGGCCTCCTCCTTCCTATTTTTCAAAAAAGCAGGACGCTAAACATGTTTGTTTTTTTATTTGGCCTAACAAGGACACCATGAATGCGCGCAGTCCTTTGTTGAATTTCCTCACATTTTCGAATGCATTTTAAAGGGGATATTTTGTCAAAATACACATTTTTGAGAATCCACATGCGAGATGCGGTATATAAAACAAATATTGACCGCTGAATTTTAGGGTCACTGTTAAAACTATACCTCCTCGGGGATCTCGAGTCTGCACCATGTCCGTCGACTTCGTCTCGTTTTTTCGAGATCACCTTGCGCTAAAGTAATTTTACCGTACCCCTCAAAGCTGTCAATGTTTGTATAATATAATTATGATAGGGTATACATTAAAGAGTACGAGTATTCTTTTGACTGAAAAGGTGTCACGTGACACTCAACTTCGAGGAGGCGCGATGGCTCAGTCGGTAGAGCAGTGGTCTCGTAATCCGGTGACCCGGGTTTGGTAAGGTATTAATCCTCATTACCAGGTCCCTCGGAGAGGGAAAATCTCGGAGAGGACCTAAAGCCGTCGGCCCTCTGGTTGCTTACTAACAAAACAAGCATTTATGCTTTCTTAGCAGTCTGGTAAAATAACCACCACCACCATACTTTGAGCATCAATATTTGTATAATACTTTGAATGGTGAGGACATTCCGAAATTTAACCTAACACTGTAGAGCCTAATAAAAAAATTAACACTTCTTATTCGTATTGGACTAGGCATGCTCGAATAGCAATCAAATTTATCTATATTCAGTTTCTTGTACTTCTGCCAATCCTATATTTGTTGTACAAATATCATCTGAAAAGCTTTAGAGACAGGTGGATTTTTATTTTTGTGCCGATCCAAATTTTAAAGATGACATTTCTTTGTCTGTGCCTCTTTCGCAGTTCTATGCTCAGCCATCACAATGCCGAAATGGTTTAGCTGTGGAAACGTGTTCTATCTGGGACGAAAGATTCATTACGTAAGTGTCTTAGTATTATTATCATTCTCGAAAAACCAACAAATAAACTTAATTTATAGAAAAAGGTCAAGCTTGTGCGATATTTTTTAATTGCATGTTTAATCGCTAGCCAAAATTAAGCCTAGGTCGCGAGGTATAGTGGATACGTAAGGAATAATAAAACATTGAGTAACTTTATTTTTCAATTAATAGTTTACTATGATGCTATTTTAGAGATACAGCCATTAACGAATAGATTCCTGTGATTCCGGTGAATCCTGTGTTATGACCTATTACACACTAGTGGACACTCTAATATCTTTTCTTCAGGCAGTCTTAGACCATAAACTACCCAAAGCAGTGCATGATGACAGTGGCGTAGCTCGGGGAGTCAAGGGGGACACTTGCCCGCCCCCTATCCATGACAATAAAAAGGGGGAAATAGAATGGGAGGGGAGAAAGAGACAGGAAATAGGAGAAACTAACATGAAAATTAGACGGTGTACCGTTCCGTATTGTATGGCCGTATTCTCTTGTATTTCATGCACCTAACATTTGCAATTCCCCGCCCCCTCGCCCCACCATGACGTCATTCATCCCCCAATGGCTCTTTGAATTCCCATCCAACTCGATCGCAACTATTATACTTTCGAAAAATCAACCTGAGGCAAATGTTCAAACATGACATTGTCATATTGTGTAACCTGGGGGGCGTTTCACAAAACTTGTCATCAGTGACAAATGACAGTTTTTGTTATAAGCTACTGAAATCCTTGCTTCTGATTGGTTATCAGCAGATTTGTCACTGATTTTTGTCATTTGTCATTGAAAAAAGGCTTTGTGAAACGGGCTCCTGAACATGATTTCTATGTAATAAACAGTAGGGTATTAAAGTTTCCCTGGAGCTGATTTTTCGAAAATACTCGCGATTGTGGTTCTTCTCTCTACAGTCTTCCAAAGTCGATTTTGACGCTGTATTGGGCACTCTTTGCCGTGCGAGGGCAGACGGTGAGACAATCGTTCGGGGACGATACCGTCTTCGCTCTCATCTACTACGTCTTCTTCGCAGCTTACTTCATTCTCGCGGTCGTCCTCGGTCTCAACCTCTTCATCGCCATCATGACGACCCAGCTCACCAAGGTGCAGGTAGGACGAAGAGCCTAACTGAATGATCAGTCGATTTTTTTTTTTGTTGTTGATTTTTTTGGATTAATTATCTATCGATAATTTGATTTTTATTTACTGACCACCTTGCAATCTTGGTGATATTCTTTTATGGACAACTCACCAAAAAAAATGGTATTTCGGAATACACAACTAGTTAGTTTATTGCACTTCCACCGTATAAGATGTCGATATGATATATATAAATATATTTGTTTGTTTTAGTTTAACTGAAGAATGCAGGCACATCAACCTTCATGCTTACGCTGTAGCCCTCCTGCATCATGTTTGTCTTATTCATATACTATACCTTTTCTATACCATGTCATGTACTGTATTGGCAAAAATGTATCAAATGTATTTTGATACGCTTGAAAAGATGATATAGAAATCAATAACTCAATTATCAATTATCAATTATATGTACAGGGGGATATACAGGGGGGGGAATCCTGTCGTAACGTGCTACTGTCTCTAGCAAAGTTCTACGCCGTTTCGCCAATCACGACTCTCAGCTAGGCGGATACCAGCGAGACCAATTGGGTCCTGCTTATTCTTGTTATTAAAGTATGGATTTTAGGGCCATTTGACAGAAAAGATCCTAAGATAGAAAAAGTTCCAGAATGTATATATATAATTGTATTATACGCATTGTATAGTAATCTTCCAAACTAGGCATGTACTTTCATGTTTATACTAGAACTAGACCTGTTTTCAATTTTCATTATTGACAGAAAAACAGCGACGTGGAATGGAAGTTCGGCAGAGCTCAGCTGTGGCTTCGGGTCATCGAACCAGTGATTGAACTCCCTCCACCTTTCAACCTTATCCCAAAATCAGGGACAGTACTGCGCATGATCAAGAGGTGGATCGGACGTGAGACGCTGAGCCGGGAAGAAGTAAATATCATTTGACACAAATAGGACAGCACTGATGAGGAAACAGTTATGATTGAGTAATACATGTCCATTTATACTCAATAGCATTCCCACACACAAATTCCGCGCCACACACATTCATCCTGCCACATACACAGACGCACCCACCCACACACGCACACACGCTTTACCATCTCTCCTGTACTCAAACATGTCTCACCCCCCCCCCCCCCCACATACACACACGCACGCACCACAACATACATTCTATCATATACAGTTGGGTTATGTTTCTCACACATAAAAGCACACAAACGTCAAAACACACAAACACACATACAAACATTGAGGATGTATTTACAATCAATCGATTTCATCACTTCGATTTGATTCGATTTAATGATTAATGGATAACGGCAAATTAAAGTGAGTATTTCAGAAACCACGAAGAAGGCCCAGTATCGGGAGTGGGGGGGGGGGCTTCATTTAATAAAAAAGACCACTCACTTTGTTTTCATACCATTTTATCCTTCCTTTTTTTTACAGGATGAAGAAAGACCTGGAGACCCCGAAAGGGCATCCATGGTATGTTTATTTCATATACGATTTATTACACTTGCTCTGTAGACTTGCTTTTACGACTGCCATGACTAGACGACTTGGCAGACCAGCTGCTGCTACTACCGAGACTACTACTACTACTACTATAGAGACTACTACTATCGAGACTACTACTACTACTACTACTACTACTACTACTACTACTATCAAGACTACTACTACTACTACTACTACTACTACTACTACGATTACAACTACTACTACTACTACTACTAGTACTACTACTACTACTACTACTACTACTACTTCTACTACTACTACTACTACTACTACTACTACTATCAAGACTACTACTACTACTACTACTACTACTACTACTACTTCAACTACTACTACTACTACTACTACTACTACTACTACTATCAAGACTACTACTACTACAACTACTACTTCTACTACTACTACTACTACTACTACTACTGCTACTACTACTACTAATAATAATAATAATACCACTACTACTACTACTACTACTACTACTACTACTACTACTACAACTACTGCTACTACTACTACTACTACTACTACTAATACTAATACTACTACTACTACTACTACTACTACTACTACTACTACTACTACTCGCTCTCTCTCTCTCTCTACCGTCTACTTCTACTTTAACTACTATTACCACTACTACATGTACAATCAGTAATACTACTACTAGTAGTAGTAGTCTATCATGTCATACTTGCATACCTCTTTCCTTAGTCATGTTAGTACAAATTCAAATGTGATGTACATACTTTCATTTGTCTTTATTATTATTATTATTATTATTATAATTAATATTATTATGATTATCATCTTCATCATCATCATGCTCTTTTTTTAATGTATAACTTATTCTTTATTTTGTAACAGGTTCTAATTCACAAATTATTGGAACGCTACCAGGATCAGAAACGCGAATCGACGCCATCCTGTTGTGGATTTACCATAGAAGATTTCAGGATATTGAAAGAAAACTTTCTTTCTCTCCGGTTAGTGATTGTTTCGTTTCATTTCATTTCATTTATTTTATTTCCACACTCCATTGTAAAAAAAATGTTTTCATTGTTCATTCGGGTGACCACGGCTACTTGCACTTTTTCTTCATTTTTCTTTGTTTACATGTTATTTATAATGATAATGTGTCAGTGACTCAAACTTTTATTACATCTTTCTTGATTACTATCGAATTCAGGAGCATTATTTTGTATTTTGTTCAGGAACCTATGATATAGGCTACAAGCTTTGCTTCGTAATAATCCAGTTCATATAGTTGCAGTCTGAGCATGAGCAGATAAAGGTCATTGCAGACCAAATTGTGAAATACACGGAGACAAAATAATTGATACGTGCTCATGAAAGTTATGTAATCATTATTCGTTTATGCATAAGCAGTGTACTCCATGATACACAGGTGGGAGTATTCTTTAAAAAGGGGGAAACATTTCGTCGCTATTTTCACGAAGTGACGGTAGTGAAATAAAATTGCATTCACTTTGCATTACGATTTTCCTCACTACCGTCACTTCGTGAAAACAAGGACGATTTTTATGTAGCACCTCCATCGCTGTAGGAGTGATTTTTTCAAAATGTACAAAGTGGGACCCCTTCATGTTTTGAAGATCTGTGGACATTCGGGGGTCATTTGGGACATGTGTTAACCGTGAACTATAGGTTTCCCATATTTCACAATGTATATGAATGAAATTATATATAGCCTCGTTTATTTGAAAATAGGAACCACATCTCAAAAATCCTTCGCCTGATCGAAATGAGCATCGAATCTCTTGAGGTAGTCGTTGAGGGGCTCAACATCCGAATGGGAAAGCTCAACGACACAGACACTCAACTCGACGGCATCGATCACAATCGGGTCCAGATTGAGGACGACGACATCGACCAGCTGACTGATGACGTCACAAAGCTGGAGAAGTGTGTACGTCACGCAATGGCCCGTCTGCAGAGTACTAGCTTGATTACGCAGATGGCAGAGATGTACAGTCAAGGGCGTACAGTTGTCAATGACGATGAAGCGAGGGGTAAGTTGGAGTCCTATCGAAAGGACTTCGACAGTTACGCAACAAATCTTTACGCGTGATCGCTAAGAAATAACCATGAAGAGAAGGTTGAGTTCTGGTCCAAGGGTGACAAATAATTTTTGAGTTTTTATCGGTCTTTGAAGTTAGTAGGCCTATGGAAGAAATGTTGCCGAAAGAATTGCCCGTCAAATGCTCTTGTATTCGGAATAATGACAGGAAAAAGCTGAATATTAGGACCAAAATCCATGCATACATTGTGAACATGTGCGTGCATTACCCCATGATTTATTTGTAGCTTGCCGCACTGCCCCCCCCCCCCTAGCTGCGGCTTCACTCAGACAAAGGTGACCTTTGGTTAAATGACCTCATGCCTTGTAGACATTATACTTATTATATTAATATATATTGATACTACATTAATAATTTATTTATATTTCATTATTGATATTTTACTATCTCGTCCTAGACGACATTTCATTTTCCCCTCCTCCACCCCCTTCACCCTTCACGTTATTTTGTGTTTATCATTCTTCTTCTTTAATTCTATATGCTGGTAGTGAGAACAATTCGCCGGAGAATTCTCCTAATAAAACCACTGCCTTAAAACAGAAGCTATCCTCGTTCATGTGACTCCTCCTATACCATCATCCTAATTAAAGAAGATTTTATTTTTATTTTTTTATTATTCATTTTTTTATTGCAACCATGAGCTGCATTTCAAATAATACAAAGACAGGCATAAAAATGGTTCACAATATAGGTATATGTACATATATATACTTTGTACAATAAAACTGTATAAATTTGCACTTTAAATACATAAATACGAGAAAATAACATTCAAGAACAATCGCAATTAAACAACAATTCGGGAAGGAAGAAGGTAATCTTGACAGATTACAAATATAACGTTTTCTCTGAATCAAAGTCTGGAAAACAAACATCTTGTAAGACATAAAAATAAGTGCATTGGCAATCTACAAGTCTTAGTTTGGGTTTTGGTTGGGTTCAAAGTCCCATGCAACTTTGATACAATTAGTATCAAGTATGACGAATCCAACCCCGCCCCCTGTTGATGGTGCCCCCTAAATTCCGTGACCCATACTATGCCGTCGCATTTTACTGAAACCAAAACTGTGTCAATATATGCTATTTGAGACGATTGGGGAAGGAGGAGGGAAATCTTGAAAGATTAGAAATAATGTTTTCTCTTAATCAACAAACTGAAAATCAAACATCTTATAAGACATAACAAAAGTTTTATTAGCATCACATTTCAATCTACATGTTTTAGTTTTGGTTTTGGTTGGGTTCGAAGTCCCTTGGAACTTTGATACAATTAAAAAGCCCACACACAGAAGGCGGAAGGAAGCTCAGGATGATAACAAAGTTCATATTTCAACCCAAAAAAAAGCAGAAAGGCAAGGATATATCTATTCATTTACATTATATTTCATTACATCACTTGTTCATATCCATTGAATACCTCATCTTAGGGGTTGTGATGGCTTAATTTAGCTCGGCAAAATAAAAGTTCGTAATCACTTCATCTGCAGACGTAATAGGACATGATGGCGTTGAAAGAATGCTCCGTTCTTCCCTCCTTGAACACGTTGATAGTATCTTTTCTTCTCGTATTCCCATGTCTAATAACAATACACGGAGATGCGTTGCCGACCTCAAACCTGACTGTGGGGAGTTCTATTCAAGTATGCTCCCAGGACCCTAAGCTGAAGGAAGCTTGGTGCGACAACAGAAGACTTACTTCAATTCCTCAAGATCTTGCTGAGGATATCGAGCTACTCTCCATGCAGTACAACAATGTCAAAGCCCTTTTAAACTCCTCGTTTGTAAGATACTCTCTCATCACAACCCTAGATCTTCGTTTCAACGACATCAGGGCCTTGGATCACACAGCTTTCTATCCTCTCAGGGATCTGATGAATCTCTTTATGTCTTTCAACCCACATCTTGTGCTGCCGGATACGGGGTTATTCCGTTGGGCGAGTAAGCTGTCCATTCTGGATTTGTCCAATTCAAACATGATATCGCTTCCTAATGATACTCTCAAGTGGAGCAAAAAGCTGGAGAGATTACAATTGTCACGTAACCAGTTTGCTTTCATCAACATCAGTTCGTGTGGCATGGTCAAGAACGTTCATTTGGAGGGGAATCAGCTGGCACATCTCAGCACAGAATTTTTCAATTTAGTGTGCGATATTGATTTTTTGGTACTGGTAGAAAACCCCATCAAGTCAATAGATCCTAATGTGATTGCGTCACTAAATGTCCGTGAATTATTAATTGGAAACTCCCCTCTAACTATGAAAGTCTTCAGAAACCTATTTATGGGGATATCATGTTCTGAAATAGAATTTGTGACAATCATAGGGTCCAATTTGACTGCTTTTCCAGTAGATTTCTTCGACTCCTTTTGCAATTGTCCTCTGGCTTCTCTCAGCTTTTATACGGGTCTGACAACTCTCTCTCCGTACGTCTTCTCAAATCTAACCCAACTCGACAAACTTTCTCTCAACGGCAACACTATAGTTACGATCGAGCCGGATTTCTTTGAAGGAATGCAAGATTTAAGAATCCTGAAGCTGCAGTTCAACAGCATACAACACATTAATCCATACAATCAAACATGGAATATAAAAGTACAAGAGCTGCAATTGTGTGACAATGTACTTATAGAAATTTCACAATCTGCCTTTCTAGGGTTGAAAGATTTAACCCTCTTGAATTTGAGTTGGAACAAACGCCTTACTTTCTTAGAATTAACAGCGTTCACCGGACTTGATAGCATTCAAGAGATAGTTTTATCTGAATGTAATATACACCATTTGCTATTGGAAACTCCATCGTTAAAATCACTTGTAATGAACAATATTATAGACAGATTTTTTCTGTGGGACCCCAGGGAATCCGTCAAACATTTACGTTCTCTTATATATTTAAACCTTAATGCGACGGGTCTTGCTGGGTACGATTTGTGGTTAGGGAACGTTTCTCTCTTCGATGGGATGGATAACCTAACGACATTGTATCTGAGTAAAAATACCAATTTCGGGTCTTATCCAGTGGGTTTGCTACCTGGTTCGTTCCAGAACCTCACGACTTTGCAAAGCCTTACTTTAGACGACTGTAATATTCGAAGCCTTCATTCACATCTCTTTCACGACTTGGTGTCCCTTCATAGGCTGAGTTTAACAGGAAACAGGATTCAGCAACTTCGTTATGATATGCTGACAGCGTTAAGGCAACTGACACGCATAGACCTTGATAGAAACGGTCTATCTTACCTTGGTGAAACAATATTTTCGAACAATCTACTGCTTAAATATCTGTCATTAGCAGACAACAAACTAACCCGTCTCAACCAAAGTACTTTCAAACCGATTGAGAATTCCCTGTCATCTCTAGACTTATCAAGGAATCCTATTCTCTGTAATTGTGATCTAAAGTGGCTTCTCGATTGGCAAAAGCGATCACCGATCCTTACCATGCACACAGCAGTTACTATTTGTTCGTCAGCATCTCTTGCTCCTCTTCGCGAAAAGCCTCTCCGGGATTTTGATCCAAGTAATCTCTGTAGGCTCAGCAGTACCATTCCATGTTTGATTTCTCTTGCAGTTATTTGCATGGTTGTCATTGCAGTTCTTGTGCATCATCATCGATGGCATTTGAGGTATAAACTCTTTCTCTTGAAACTGGCATTAGTTGGCTATAAAGAAGTCCAAGACGCTCGCAATCACAATGACTACGAATTCGACGTAAATGTCATTTGCTATGACGATGACGAAGAATGGATTCGTGACCATCTTCGTCCGGCTCTTGAAGAAAAGCTTCCGCAGTTTCGGAGGAATGTTTTTGGTGATGAAGACCTCATGCTGGGAATGCATTATCTAGATGCAGTTGATCACGCGGTGACCCGGAGTTACAAGACAGTCCTTGTGCTTAGCAGAGCCGCTGTACGCGATCGCTGGTTCATGCTCAAACTGCGCATCGCCATGGACCACGTGAGTGATACTGGAACCGAGTTCGTTGTTGTGGTCTTCCTCGAAGACATCCCTGATGATGAGATACCTTTCATGGCGAGATTGTATCTCAACGACGGCAGACCCTATCTCCACTGGACTGATGATGTAAGAGGACAAGAGTATTTCTGGAATAAATTGGCAAAGAATCTGAATATCAATCTAAGGACTGATGACTTGATCCCAAACGAGTAGAGAGGTTTCGAAAATAACTGTTGACCTTAAGCCATGTCATGTTAAACACATCCAACGTGGGGTGAACCATTGGTGTACCTACCTACTCCGATTGGAGGCCTAGTATAAACAAAAATCAACATGACTTAAAGTGAGTCTACGGCTGCCCAGAATTTTGAATTTCTAGTTTTGGCATAAAAACCTCGATTTTTAGCTTCAGAGGTTTTATTTCAGAATATAACAAAGTATATTTGTGGCAAAAAATAGTATGCTGACAGAGTTGACTGGTTACCAACGAAAAGAAATAATAATAACTATCTAGTATTAGGATTTCGCGTCATTTTTATTATTTTATTGAATCGTTGTTCAGGCCTAATATGTTTTTATTTGAATACAATATTGCTCAAGCTGAACAAGAGGTAAAGTGTAAACTAATAATGCCAAGTGTATGATTTAAATAACTCTAGATTATGATTATATCAAACCATTTTCCAACATTGTATCAGTACCTTTGTAAACTAATCATTATTATAACTCGTTAATATAAGTTTGTAATAGTAACATAAATATGTATGGTGGGACTGTTTATAATACATATATATACATATTTTGGTGCAAATATACATGTATTAAGCACTTAACTACCGTTGGTGAAGGTGATGGGACAAACTATCACTTCTGAGGCGATCTAGATGTAGCTATCTTTCCGAAGCGAGCTGAGGAAAGATAGCGTATACATTCAGATCGCCGAGGAAGTGATAGTTTGCCATCGCCTGTAACCAAAAGGTGATTATTTGCTTTATATTCCACATCGGAAACATTTCACATCTTCCGTCATTTTAGAGCAACAAGTCATCAATGAACAGCTAGCAAACGGTGTACGATACGTACAGTGCATGCAGAATGGTGGTGTGACCATTTAGTTCGCGCGTGACCAAAGTTCGCGTACTAACACTAAAAGCGCTTAAAGAGGAGAGCAATACGCAGCGTATACAATTAAAGTGCGTTGCACTGTGTAGACAGTCCTACTATCTACACAGTACAACGAACTTTTTTCTCTCCCATCAATGACGGGCGAACTATCTTTCAACACGTGATTACTTTTGACCAATCGTAGAGCAAGATTCTTGGTATGTGGAATATAATCTATGTTATCTTGATAATTATCACTGCAACAATTTTGAATGACTACTTTCTGTATAACTATCAAGTATATACTCTATACAAATGTGACGTTAAGGTTTGGTCCCCACACGTAAACTTATCTAATTGAAACACGTATGTAAAAACACAATTACATACACATACTCTATACAAACTGTTAAAACAAGTAAAAGTATAAATTATTTAGAAACATTATTTTGAATTATCAATGTAAAGTGCCTTTGTATATATTGTATTTCTTAACAATTTTTCATAACATTCAGTAATACCTAATTTCTTTAGGTCTTATATTTAAATCATTGTATTGAATCAAATAATCAGTAAAGTATACAATTACATTATCTGGTCACACCAATTAGCTGTATATTGTTTCTTTATCTTCTTTGATATATATATTTTTTTTTTTCTTAGTTTCTTTATCATGTTCATGCGTTTTTGCCACTTAGCTGGCGCGCGAGCTCCTAAGATTTTATATTGTTTGCTTGTAATAATTTGATTAAATTATTTTGGTAAGGGTTTGTTAAACATATGACAGGTTTAACAATGTTTAGACGGCAGTGGAATTCATCTGAAAATTATAATTTATGAAAGGCATTTTTTAAAAGGCAATATTTTCTTTATTTTCAATAGTTTCTTTCTGGGCACCATACTGGTAGCTTTAAAAGCAGTTGTATTTTATATCTTTTCAAATAACTTTTTGATACTCTATTTTCTCAAACAATATGCACATTTTTTTTAAGTATTCGTGTGATATTATTATCAAAACAAATTATATTGCTTGATTTTATTCTATTTTATATATTCATTAATCATCAACAATTAATTCAATGAAGATCAATATGGTCCAAACACAAATATTATAAATACAAGCAGTTTTTCAGCGATACAAGCAAAAATAGTTAACATGATACTAGTAATAAGCGGAAGATTTCCTCGTTAAAGGTCAGAAAGCTATATTATTCCATTGTTTAAAGGAGTTGTAAAACCGATCCATCTAACTATAGAGGCGTCTCCCTCTCGAGCTCTGTTGATAAATTATTTCAAGATTATTTTTTTCTTCAAGATTTATTCATTTCATTTAATAAAAATAAAAATATTTTGTAGTATTTTAAACAGACGTCTGGTTACATATTTAGTAGAAATAAACTCTTTGTCCAAAACCAAACAGGCTTCAGGGTAAAACAATAAAATATTTGTTAGTAATGTTATAGAAAGTGTTCATTATTTTGCAATGGATAAGAAATATCTTAGGGGTAAATAAGAAAAGTAGTACATAAGTTGTGTTGGCTGAAGCTGGAGAATATCCTATGATTATCGATATATGTAAACAAATTGCATGAAATATTTGATTCGTATGAAAAGTGTTGATGAAACTCTTTGTTATATTCTTCTTTTCAGAAAATAGAAAGAAGGTTAGAAAAAAATGGCTTAGTAATGTTCACAATTTATTTAAAAAAAGTAATTTATATGTTGACGGAAATAATGAATGTCTAGAATTAGAAAAAATTATAGATAAGAATAAAATAGTCGGAGTGGAAACAGAAATTAAACTTCGAGAAATATATTATTCTCAATTTATAATGGATTTAGACAGTGCTTACACTACAGAAAGGAGAAAATAAATTGCGACCATGTAAATTGTTTAAGCAAAACATAAAGCAAGAGAAATATTTAACTTTTGAGTAAGTAATACATTACGTTAAAATATTTTTCGATTTAGAATAAGTTTAGGTAATTTACCCATTGAAATCGGAATGCATAGACGCCCGAATAAACTACCAACGCATTTACGTACACGTTCCTACTAAGATTGTATAGTGAGGAAATTAGAGACGAAAATCACACTACCATCGATTGTACTATATTTAGTTCCCAGAGTATATTGTTTGAAAAAATTATAATCATTGATAAGGAATTTAGATTTGAACAATAAAGAAACTCTCGTAAAGATAATGAAACTAGACGATAAAAACGTTATTTGTAATTTTATTTAATTTATAAGACGTGTTGTTTCTGTAAGAGGAGAATTTTGAATACTTTGTGCATAATGAAACTAGACGTTGATACAAGTTTTTCTAATATTATTGAAGATGTGTTAAATTTGTATGTGGTTGAATGTGTAAATGTTGTACAGGTGGGTTTAAAAAAAAAATTGCTATATGATTACTTTTTGTTTGTTAATTATCTGTAACAAAATGTCATTGTACCTTGTGACGATGTTATTTCAATAAATTCAAATTCAAGCAATTAAAAAACTTGACCTTGAAATAAATATTGAACAATTTAGGCACATCTATTTCGTCATAAAATATCCAAGATTAAAGATTAAGACAGACCCTGTTTAGTTCACGTGCATTAAATACCTGACAAAGAGATTTGTGAATAAAGAAGAAGGCGGAAGGAAGTTTGAAGAAAATGATAATGGCGTGATATTACAAAAACAAAATCAGAAAGACGATCATACATTCATTTAGAGAGAGAGAGAGAGGGGGGGGGAAGAAGATGTAAGAGGAGAGAGGAAATAGAGAGGGGTATAGAGAGAGAGAGAGAGAGAAGATGAAAGAGGAAAGAGGAAATATAGAGAGAGGTAGAGCGAGAGAGAGAGAGAGAGAATTTCAGACAGAGAGAGAGAGGGGGAGAGAAGATGTAAGAGGAGAGAGGAAAAAGATAGGGGTAGAGAGAGAGAGAGAGAGAAGATGAAAGAGGAAAGAGGAAATAGAGAGAGAGAGAGAGAAAGAAACACTATGAACATGACGGACAAAGAAAGCGGACAAAATATACAGTTCCTCAGGTAGATAAAGGAACATCCCTTCACTGCTATTATGTAAAAATGTGTAGAACAGGTGTCACATGCATATTTACATGTTCCACACATTTTTACATATTAGCAGTGAAGGGATGTTCCTTTGTTTACCTGAGGAACTGTATATTTTGTCCGGCTTTCTTTGTCCGTGATGTTCATAGTGACAGAAAGAGAATTTCAGATAGAGAGAGAGGGGGGGGGGGCTGGGTAATAAAAATGGATAGGAACAAAATAGAGATAAACAGACTTACGATAAATTATGCACAAATCATAACACAGACTGTAAGCTAGAAAAATTTGTCGGAATAATAGTTTACAAATTATAGTATTTCTTTTTCCTTTGTATTAAAACAAAAATGCATCGAAAAGCACTAACAATCATGATTATTTGTCCTTTGTTACAATGTCTATCATTTACATTAAAGTAAACCCCCCAAACAAAATTAACACGTCATATATCTGATATGACGTGTTGAGAACGCTGAATCACATAAACAATATACAGCCGGGGTCTTTTCTGTCAAATATTGATCACAGATTTACATTAATGATGAGCAATTGATAGTGTTTGTTAATTTCACTGGTTTCTTTGATGTCGAATGATGACTGCTTTGATCGTAATTAGTCATTACAGCGATGCCTTTGTGAATGCCTTCCTTAGTCCAGTAGAGGGCGCCATTGAAGTAGCTTATATCTCGCAGTTTTTCTCGCTCTTCTGAGTCATCGCCGCTGATGTCAGGGTCAATCATGTAGCCTGTGAGCTCGTGAGCGCCGTCGCTGTCGACGTCCATGTAGAATGTTTTTGCCGTACCAAAGTCACAGAAATATATTCGTCGTGGATCTCCTGCCAAAACAAATAAATTCCTGTTTCTTACCAAGTGCTTTACCATCAATTAACCAAAGCGCTTACAATATTAGTATTACCCCGGTCATTGGATTCTATAACAATCCTACACAATAAGGTGCACATTCTCCACCCCATGAGGGCGTTAAAATATATCGCCTACACATGCTAATTCAACCCCAATGACATTCGCATCATACCAGGTACACATTTACACCTAAGTGGAACCATGTAGATAAACTGTTTTGCTAAATTACATGTCATTTTACTAAACCCTTCTAAATATGAATATACGTACGGCTGAGATCAATGCTTAATCCGGTGATTCCGGACAGACCGGAGTTGTAGTATATTCCCTCTAACCCGCCAGATCCGTTGAGATATCTGCGCACGATGTAGTTATTGATTGACCAATACAAGAATCTGAAAAAAAATCAAGAGTGTCCTGTCAATTCATATCAACATTAAGAAAACCAGAAATTGTCATGACGTTATCGTCATGACAATTTCTGGTTTTCTTAATGTTGATATGAATTGACAGGACACTCTTGACACCAACATGTATGGGTAACCATTGGTAGAAAAGAAACATGTCCTGCATTATCGT